GCCATGCATGTCTACTGGTGTATTCATCCATTCTTTTCCGTGCCTGATTACGCCTAGGTCACATACCTGCTGGATCAAATCCTCAGCCTTTGCCATCCAAGAGCGGCCTCTTTTGAGATGCGTTCCTTTTGTGTCGTGTATAGCTTTGTGCAATGGGTGGTTAACGTCTGCCAATACCCTCATGTAAGCCTTGACTTGTGCCACTTTGTATCTGCTAGTCATCGTCGGCAAACCCAGGACATAACGCATGGCGTTGCTGGAGGTGTCTTTTGTGCAGCCGAGTATGAGTCTCATGGCCTCATTTTGTACTCGGTCCAGTCTTTCTAGCTGGGTTTTGCTGACAGTGAGGAGGCCAAGACCATAGTCAATGACGCTAAGCACAAGCCCATGATAGAGAAGGAAAAGTAGACATTGTTCAATATCAGCTGCTGCTAGCACCTTGAGTGTTGTCAGACCTTTCCTGGCTCTAAGTATGACGTTGTCGACGTGGCATTTGTATGACAAGCATCTGTCAAATGTCATGCCCAGGTATTTCATAGTGTCCGTTCTCTTGATGTCTACACCACATATGCTTACGACTGGCGTTGGTGTACTGACGATGTGAGTATTCAGAGAGAACCATGTTAAGGAGGCTTTGAAAGGGTTCACCTGAGCTCTTGATTCCTGGCACCACTCACTAAGTCTGTCCAGTTCGTGTTGTAGTGTGGTTGTTATTTCCTGCCTGTCTTTACCCCGACGGTAAACAAGGATATCATCTGCATACGACATTGTTCTACCTAGACCTACGCTTTGTGCACTCGTGACTCCTGCTGTGTACGCATTGAATGGAGACTGTTTGACAGAAATCTAAATGAGGATGGCCATAGCAATACAAAGATTACACAATATTAAAAGTCTATGGTTAACGAGGATGGCCATAGCAATACAAAGATTACCCATCATTAAAAGTCTATGGTTAGCCAGCAAGGAAATAAAAATAAAAATTTTGACAGCATGCATCTTCCTTGTAGCTACACACGGATGTGAGTCCTGGACTATCTCCTGGTCCTTAACTCTTTGAGTCCCAAGGAAATCATATGTTCATAGATTCCTACCTAGAGGCCCAATTAACACATGATGCGCCGATTTTATGTCTCTTTTGATTACCCCTTGGGCCTGTAATGCTAAACCCCCTGGGACTCAAAGAGTTGAGAAAGAAAATCGGGAAGAAAAAAGAGAAGAAATACTGACATTTTAAATGATCTGAATATCAAGGATGATTGACTAATGAACAGCATCTAGTCTCAGAAGTTGAAATATTTTGGTCATTTCAAGCGCCACAATGGATTGGACAAGATAATAGCAGAAGGCATGGTACCAGGAAGGAGGGGCGGGGGCCGACCGACACGAAGATGGGCACAGGATATAAGTGACTCCTTGAATATGAAAGTACATGAGGCAGGAGAGCTGGTGAGAGATTAAGTTTCTTTCAAGCAGACCGCGATGAGAGCAACATTGCGCAATGGACCTGCTACATGATGATGACATTGTATGTGTTTTAACATGTGGTGAACATCTTGAATGTGCTGAATTTGGTCATTTGTTAGATGTTAGTTTACTTGATGTCTTTCTGCTGTTAGTATCTGAACCAAATGGGATCAGGAGAAACGCAAACAACCAAATTGTCAGCACACTTTTAAAGCTCTCGTTTCATTAACTCATTTGTCATTCCCACACTATGATCAATGGCTAGAGAATTATTACCATGCAAAATATGATAGGTGAACTCCTTGAAATAATCATGGCATGCAGGCTGTCCCATATCTTGGAGGTTAAGGGTTTACTTGTTCGAGTTCTAGGAGCATATCAACCTGGGTAGGATGACCCCACCAGTGCTGCACTCTGTTTACTTATGACACCTGTGAGGCATTTCAGGCTGGCATTGAAACATCTACAGCAACCATTGATCCTGAGGATGTATACAACAGTACCCCCTGTGACGACCCTATGATGGTAGTGCTGCAATGCAGGACATGGAGGTTGCAGCAGCCATTCATCATGTCAAGGTTACCTCAGGGCTCCAGGTTTATTACAGATAACCCAATAGACGGATAGCTGAAATCTCCTAATACATTTTTACTGTTACATGATTTTACTGAGGATTTGGGGACAACAATCAAAATAAAATCATGTAAAAGTGAATACATACATACATATTGTATTTAATTTTACAAAACTATCAATTTAAACTTCATTGTTAGAGTACAGTTTCACAGAAATGTATTGTAATACTATAAACTTATGATACTTGAAGAAAATGTCATCTCTTCTCTGTCTTTGACGCTGGAGTTTTCTCTGGGGCAGTCTTCCATATCTCACACAGAAGTTGGTTCTGTGTGACATTTACATTGTCTTGCATTTTAAGCCAGTGGGTAGATACACTTTAATAACATTTTATCTGCTTTTGAGTGGCTAGTTGTCAGTCTTTGGTTCAGAATTAATTCTTCGTTGACATCAATTTCTTCTTCTTCAGTGGTCTATGCCCATACGCTCCCTTACGCAAAAATTTTTTACCTCTCTGTCTTCTGATATTCTCATAGTATGCTCCAGCCATTTCAGTCTCTTAGCCCTCATGATGCCTCAGTGATTTCTGTGTTGCTTCCCACCCTCCATTCCCCACTGTTTGCATCTTTGATAGGTCCAAAGATTCGTTGTAAGAAAAATGTGTAATAGAGCTTTATCTCTGTTAGTTGTGCTCCATGTTTCAGAGCCATATAAAAAACCACTGGTATTATCAACATTTGATATATTCTGATTGGTCTTGGTGGTGTTGCAAGATAGAGACTTTGACTTTAGCAGATGTTAAAAAGCACAGCATACTTTATTTCCAGATTGTATTCTAGCTTGTATTTCTTCTCTCAGCATGTTGGATCCATTGAAGTTTGCACCCAAGTACTTATATGTTTCCGTTCGTTTGATTTTTACATTATCGACTTTTATGTGACCAGAGTTTATATATTTTCCCTGTCTTGTTATCATTATGTATTCTATCTTATCTTGATTGATAACTAGTCCCATTTTGTGAGCTGTTTTTTTTTAAGAGAGCCAGTGTTTTTACAGACTAGTTCATTTTCTCCAGTGATAACAGTGTCATCAACATATCCAAGTATTCTTGTAGTTTCTCCTATAGTACACTCTTGTTTCAATTTCCTTATAATTTTCTCCAGGGCCAAGTTGAAAAGAAGTGGGGACCGAGCATTACCTTGCTTTAAACCAGATGTTATTTGAAAAGGGTCTGACTTTCTGCCTTTATTTATTACTATATTACAAGTGTCTTCCATACATAGTTTAAACATAGTTATTAACTCTTTTGGTATTCCAAAGTCATTCATACATAGCATTCTTTAAACTTTCTTTGTACATTATCACATGTATTTTTAAAAATTGACAAAACCATCATGTTCATCTCTTCTGTATTCCCAGAATACTAATTTTCACTCTGCCCTTTCCCCTTAAATGCAATAATCAAAGCCTTGAAACAATCACAGGCTGGTCAATATTCAGATAATGTTGGATTTCAAATTATTAACCCTTTCACTTTGTGATGCCATCCAATACAAATCCCCACAAGTCTTTATTTTGGCTTTGTTACATTGGCCTGTTTACGGTTTTTTTCGTTGACAAGATCGGGTCAAAATGGATGCTAGGCAGGGGCACTGTTCGGAGCAGAGGCAAATCTTTTGCTTCTGCTGGACGGTGGCCGATGCATTTTTGCTCCATTTGTAGACTGGATATAGTTTTGTCGCCCAGCTTCTGAGTTGAATGCATGGTGTGACATTGTGAGCTGCGTATTTCATTTAGAATGTTTTTTCGACTGTGACCGACGTGGTGGTGTGAATTGTAGATTCATAAAATGGCGTGATGCCTGTTATTGCAATGTTGGTGGTGCCCGTATGTGATTAAAATTGATCGCGTGGGCAACTGCTGATCCGTTGGTGACTTCTGCTACCATCAATGAAGAACTGCATTTCTAATGTTGGACTGTTTGTGTTAGCATTTCAGATAGCTACTGTATGCTTTAAGGCGAGTGTATGCTAGATATGATGAGACAGCAGTCTGTCAATCTTTCCACAAGAGACTTTGATAAACATTCTGTGTGTTTTTCGTTGGCACAGGAGCTGAGCAAAGATGGGGTGACCCGTTTGCTATGAAGCTGAAACTAAGACTACCAGACTACCAAGACTACCCTTAAATGAATATGTGATATATTGTTGATCTGTTCTGTCGGAAACCTGCTTGATGATCACCGAATATAGCTTCGACTTATGGTTTTAGCCTGTTTAGTAGTACCTCCAATAGTATCTTATAGCTTGTAGGTAACAGCGATATGCCTCTGTAATTTTTACATACTTGTCTCCTTTCTTAAAATCAGTTTCACAGAAGAAAAATCAGTGGGTGGCAACAGAGTTGAAGTTTGTCTCACTGGCTTGAGCTGTGGTCACACTAACAACAAACTTACAGTGGGTCGAGGGTCATAGAGACTCAGGGCTGTAGTGGCTAAGACTCTTGGGCAGTGGAACACACAAGCTGTTCCCCCTTGTGGGCCTCTGGGTCCAGCCTTACAGGTGAAAAGGGCGCACTCAGGTGGTAAGTCCTATGACCTGGCAAACCTTTCTACACCCAAGAGCATTGTGCGTGACCGAAAAGGCACATCCTTCAAAAGGTGACCCCCACAACCAGGACCTATTGGTCCTGGGATAAAATGCTATGAATCTAGAAGAGACAATGGAAAAAAAAAAGCCCAGGGCTAAAGTGGATCTCTGTGCCGAGAGGCTGAATGATATGTATATATCAATGCTTTCAGGTTTGACATTACCTCTGCTCTTTTCATCACTGCTTAAATAGCACTATTTCATTTATAAGCATGTCACATTAACTTGTTCTTTATATTATGTTTTCATAGCCTCATTATTTGATGATTGACTGTTAATTTCCTCCAGACCTGACTGATATCCGAAGACATGAAGAAGCAAGAGAGGTGTGTCCGGGCAGCAGCAACTGTAGGTCCTGGAGCTGGGAACAGTGCCTCTGTAAACAAAGCTGCTAACACAGTCCCTACCACCACAGTTTGTGGCAGCACTGCCAACATTATATCATCAGGAGCTTGCCTTGCAGCAAATCCAGCTGTTTCCATCATCACAAGTGAAGGAGTAACAGAGCAGGCAATGGGAATGAAACATTCAAAGTCAGACCATTCAGGTCTTAGTCACAAAGACAGATTCAAAGATAAAACTTCTGTAGCTAAAAAGTTCATCAGTAAAAGCCAGGAAAACCTAAGCAGTCAGGGGAAGACTGCATCTTTAACAACAGTCGTGGAGTCTCCTCAACCTGTTTCTTTGTTGACAAAAACTGAAGCAGACCTTGCTGAAAAAAATAAAGAAAATCTAGCCATTCGGGTGAGGGAGAGAAACTCAGTTATTATGAAATCCAAAGCAGGAAAGCTAAATAGTTTAGCTGCCAACATGCGGAAGGCATCTAGTACACAGTCCATAGACAGAACAAGCCTGAAATCATCATCGTCTAAGTCATCCAGCAACCTGGCCATCAAGCGAGCTCAGAGTACACAGAATATTTGCAAAGATAAATTTTTGAAGAAGCGTACATCAGCTCCTGCAGACGTCATGGCTTTCAATGCTGAACTGTTGGCTAATTTTGAGAAAGAAAAGAAGATACTTGAGGGAAGGATATCAGAACTGACTAAAGTGGCAGAAAGCAGGAAGGGTGAGATTGAAAAATACAAATATGAAGTTAAGAGACTGAAAGATCAGATATCATGCAGTGAGAGCAGAGAAGAAATGGAGTTACTTAGGAACCAAAATAAATTACTTGTTGACAGACTACAAGAGCTTGGATTTCCAGCAGAACAGATCACGGACTCTGAAAAGCTCATGATGAAGAATTCTTGTGCCGACACAGCTGATAGTCATGATAACACTTCTGACATCTATCTGCAAACCTGCTTGAGCTGTTACAGCATCTCCACAGATGGAGGACATACAAAAAGCCACACAAATCCTATAAATATCACTTTTGTTGGGGTTTCTGAGAAGACTCTCTTAAGTGAAGTTGACGGTTCAGACCTTCATCGATCTACATCTTTGTCTGCCTCAGAGCCAGGAATGTCGCTACCTGATCTGTGTGGGACACCTGACCATCCATCAGTACTTTCACTGGACACTGCCAACTGGGATAAGCAGAGCAACAAGTCAGCAAATAGTGATGGTGCTATCAGTGAAGCTTCCCTAGCATGCTTAACAGAGAGAATACTACAAATGGAAGAAACAAATTATTCAACCACAGAGGAATTACAAGCAACCCTGCAGGTATGGTGTGTTTGATGTGTGAGGAATTACAAGCAACCCTGCAGGTATGGTATGTTTGATGTGTGAGGAATTACAAGCAACCCTGCAGGTATGGTATGTTTGATGTGTGAGGAATTACAAGCAACCCTGCAGGTATGGTGTGTTTGATGTGTGAGGAATTACAAGCAACCCTGCAGGTATGGTATGTTTGATGTGTGAGGAATTACAAGCAACCCTGCACCCTGCAGGTATGGTATGTTTGATGTGTGAGGAATTACAAGCAACCCTGCAGGTATGGTGTGTTTGATGTGTGAGGAATTACAAGCAACCCTGCAGGTATGGTATGTTTGATGTGTGAGGAATTACAAGCAACCCTGCAGGTATGGTGTGTTTGATGTGTGAGGAATTACAAGCAACCCTGCAGGTATGGTGTGTTTGATGTGTGAGGAATTACAAGCAACCCTGCAGGTATGGTATGTTTGATGTGTGAGGAATTACAAGCAACCCTGCAGGTATGATGTGTTTGATGTGTGAGGAATTACAAGCAACCCTGCAGGTATGATGTGTTTGATGGGTGAGGAATTACAAGCAACCCTGCAGGTATGATGTGTTTGATGTGTGAGGAATTACAAGCAACCCTGCAGGTATGGTGTGTTTGATGTGTGAGGAATTACAAGCAACCCTGCAGGTATGGTATGTTTGATGTGTGAGGAATTACAAGCAACCCTGCAGGTATGGTGTGTTTGATGGGTGAGGATTGGACAGTTTTGAAAGGTTAGCAAGAAAATGCTTCAACAAGAATTAAACTTTTATCTTTGTTTTAGAGGTATTGTTTAATTGCATCATTTCTTTTATAATGTCTGTTGTTTTGGTTAAATCTTTTAATTGTCACATATTAGAAAAGTATTAACAGTTTGAGCTGTTAATTGCAATAGTTTCCTTCAAAGTTGTATAAATATATGCAAGCCTGTATTTGTGTAACATGTGCAGCTGCACATGGAGACAAATCTTTCATTCATTCATTCATTCAGTAGCATGTCCCTCGCGGAACCTCGCTGCCATAACAACCCTCCGGAAAACCTTCCTATCCTGAGCAAGATTTCCTGCGTCTGAGACACCCATCTGGAGATCATCTGCCACATCCTGCACCCATCTTCTCCTTGGCCTTCCTCTTCCTCTCTTCCCAGGCATATACCCCTCCATTATTGTTCTCTCTAGACTTCCATGACGTTTCAAGTGACCAAAATATTTCAATTTTCTTTGTTTTATTGTCTTTACTAGCCAACCCTCTTCAATATTCAGCCCTTGAAGTATGGATGCATTTGTTCTTTTCTTTACCCAAGATATTCTTAGAACCTGTCTGTAACATTTATATTCAAGACAAATCTTTAGCAGTGGCAAAATATAATTAGTTGAAATACAATTTTTAATTCTTTAAAATGATTTCATTGTTATGAGACCTGCATTAGATTCACATTCTGGTATTCAAATAGTATGGCAGCAGGGATGCACTTTCTGAAAATCAAAGTAGATGACAAATAGAAGTCGTCTGATTTTTAATTAAAGACAAATATGAAAGATACAAATGAAATTCACTAGTTAATTTCAAAAAATGCTTCAGTGGTACTGGGGTCCATAATGTAAGCCAGCAATACAAGTACTGTAACTAACCATGCATGTATTAAAAGCCAACAATACAAGTACTGTTACTAACCATGCATGTATTGAAAGCCAACAATACAAGTACTGTTACTAACCATGCATGTATTAAAAGCCAACAATACAAGTACTGTAACTAACCATGCATGTATTAAAAGCCAACAATACAAGTACTGTTACTAACCATGCATGTATTGAAAGCCAACAATACAAGTACTGTTACTAACCATGCATGTATTAAAAGCCAACAATACAAGTACTGTAACTAACCATGCATGTATTAAAAGCCAACAATACAAGTACTGTAACTAACCATGCATGTATTAAAAGCCAACAATACAAGTACTGTAACTAACCATGCATGTATTAAAAGCCAACAATACAAGTACTGTAACTAACCATGCATGTATTAAAAGCCAACAATACAAGTACTGTAACTAACCATGCATGTATTAAAAGCCAACAATACAAGTACTGTTACTAACCATGCATGTATTGAAAGCCAACAATACAAGTACTGTTACTAACCATGCATGTATTAAAAGCCAACAATACAAGTACTGTAACTAACCATGCATGTATTAAAAGCCAACAATACAAGTACTGTGACTAACCATGCATGTATTAAAAGCCAACAATACAAGTACTGTAACTAACCATGCATGTATTAAAAGCCCACTAAGGAGGTTTAGCATGAGACTTGTTACTAGGAAACTTTAGCTGCAAAATCCAGTGAGTCATGAGCAATTATCTAAAAACGCTTTGGCCTGAATTGTTTGAGATCATGTCATTAATTTGAAGTTTAGAAAGATAACTAAATTCCAGTTATCAAGACGGAAGGAAAGGATACTACCATTAGAAAGCAGCCCCTGTGGCGTCACAGCTAAATGCTTGCCTTCGGATCAAAAGGTCATGGGTTCAATTCCGAATAGAGCCAGACTTTTCTCAAAATTGATATTGGCTTCTAGATCGACCAAGCCTGAAATGTGTACCAGATAAAGTCCTGGGACGTAAAGGCGGCTGGAAGGATGTTGATCACGTCCCCCACTGAGTGCTGATTGGTCAGTACAAAAAGATCTAGCACTAAATGGCCAGTACGTCTGAAGGCATGAAAAAGATCCTTTATTAGATGGGAGACATATTGAGAAAACATGATCATATGTGGTGTACCTAAATTAAACAAGTCCTAGTGGCTTTGTTACAAACATATAACAAGTATGTTAGCAGGCGTGGCAGAATTGATATCAACTGTTATAAAGCAAATATGCACCTGAGATCGGAAGAGGTCACCGCTGGCATTCAGGCATGCATCCTGCTGTTTGGAGGACAATGGATATCATCAGTTTTGTTTCAGATTGTGATTCCATGATTGACTGTGAAGTTTTCACTAGCTTAGTGTGACTGTTAACTACAATGAAATGGTATCTGCCATAGGAACTGGGTGACTTACAAGATGCTGTCAATGAGCTGACAGAAGACAACACTAAGCTTACAGATGAGAAGGCTGTCCTTCTGGAGTCCCTGTGCACACAAACAGTCAAGTTGGAAAATGCAAGATTTCACGTAAGAGAAACTTCTTCTTTTCTCTATCCTTAAATGTCTTGCAGCAACAGGACAGGAAGAGATCTCTGGAAGGAGCCTTCTGTCCATATCAAGTACTGTTCAGTATCTCCAATATTTCTGCCGTCTATCATCTAGTTCTGTTACTGTTGTAACTCTGCAACATTGCTCTCTATGGTGCCCTGTTTGTTAACAGTCTGATTACATAGCCAATCTGTTCTCTGTGGGAAACATTCAGTTTTAGTTCTGTGCTGAGTCATCTTCTGATATTATCATTCTTAAGTCAGTTTTTCCTTGTTACGGATAATGCATAAAGATTTCATTTATGTTGTGACTATTTTTCTTCTGTCTTCTGAAGACCAGTGTCCATGCTTGGCACTGATAAGGATAAGCATTGTTAAGGATACTGTGTTCAGCAGTGCTCTTAAGAGTTCTGAGTGAAACTGGAAGCATAGTATTTTTAATCTTGCCAGATCATGGCTCTTGTGAATCATCTTCTTCATCTTTAGCATTCCGAACCCTTGGGGGTTCATTGTTACAGATATCACCCGCCTCCATTCATCTCTCTGGTTGGCCTTCTCTTTCCAGTTGGTGACACCAAGTGTTTGCAGGTCTGTCTGGACATTATCTATCCATCTTCTTTTTTCGTTTGCCTTGTGGTCTACAAATATATATTTCCCTTGTGTATACATTTTTTACTTCTCTGTTGTCTGACATTCTTTCAGTATGCCCCAACCATTTCAGTCTACTAGCTCTTATGAAGCCAGTGATCAATGGTGATTTCAACAGATTATGAATTTCGTTATTGCTTCTCACTCTTGATTCTCGGCTGTTTGCATCTTTGATGGGTCCAAAGATTCGTCGTAAGACTCCGTTTTCGAAAACCTGTAATAAGGCTTCATCTTTTTTAGTTGTGCTCTAAGTTTTAGAGCCATATAAAACGACTGGTCTTGTCTACGTTGTATTTATTTTGATCTTGGTGTTGCGAGACAGACACTTTGACTTTGGCAAATGTTCAAGGGCTCTTGTGAATCATAGTGACTGTAAGTCATAGTGACTGGAAATAAAAGTCATGTTCTGTATGTCAAATCAAGGTCTGAACAGGCCCATAAATAAATCTAATTTGAAAACTTTGTTGTAGACATTCATTAATAAATTATGATTTGTCTTGGAAAAGTCGCTATCCTTGTAAACAATTGTGTTAAATTTTCGGTAATGTTTATGTATACTTTTACCCAACCTAAAAAGAAAGGGGGACCGGCCGATTTTTGCCAGTATTCTGGAAAGCCAAGGCAGTGAAGAAGGGAACAGGCCAAACCAGCTCATATGTGACCCTGAAAGGTCAAGGCTTAACATTTCTCACCCATCAGCCATATTTGCCATTAACTGCTTTTGAGTATAATTTGAGTTTTGTATGCATTAGTTCAAACTGTAAACTGCATTCGTTCAATGATCCCTTTGTTTGATGACTGTTTACATTTTTATTTGAATTGTCAGTGGATTTGTCGGATATGCTTTCTGGAATGCAAAATTGATGAAGTGTACAATGGAGGGAAGACACAAACAAACATTTGATATTTATACCAGTAGTAGAATAGGTTTGTGAATTCTAGTCAGCCAGCCATTCTTGCTTCTCAGTGCAGGTCACTTACATAGACAGTCAACCATTCTTGCTTCTCAGTGCTGGTCACTTACATAGACAGTCAACCATTCTTGCTTCTCAGTGCTGGTCACTTACATAGACAGTCAACCATTCTTGCTTCTCAGTGCTGGTCACTTACACAGTCAACCATTCTTGCTTCTCAGCTGTCACTTACATAGACAGCCAACCATTCTTGCTTCTCAGTGCTGGTCACTTACATAGACAGTCAACCATTCTTGCTTCTCAGTGCTGGTCACTTACATAGACAGTCAACCATTCTTGCTTCTCAGTGCTGGTCACTTACATAGACAGTCAACCATTCTTGCTTCTCAGTGCAGGTCACTTACATAGACAGTCAACCATTCTTGCTTCTCAGTGCTGGTCACTTACATAGACAGTCAGCCATTCTTGCTTCTCAGTGCTGGTCACTTACATAGACAGCCAACCATTCTTGCTTCTCAGTGCTGGTTACTTACATAGACAGTCAGCCATTCTTGCTTCTCAGTGCTGGTCACTTACATAGACAGCCAACCATTCTTGCTTTTCAGTGCTGGTCACTTACACAGACAGCCAACCATTCTTGCTTTTCAGTGCTGGTCACTTACATAGACAGCCAACCATTCTTGCTTTTCAGTGCTGGTCACTTACATAAACAGCCAACCATTCTTGCTTCTCAGTGCTGGTCACTTACATAGACAGCCAACCATTCTTGCTTCTCAGTGCTGGTCACTTACATAGACAGCCAACCATTCTTGCTTCTCAGTGCTGGTCACTTACACAGACAGCCAACCATTCTTGCTTCTCAGTGCTGGTCACTTACATAGACAGTCAGCCATTGACTCAGCTTTGATGCTAATGACCTGCAGCGATAACATGTGCTGGTGTCATCATTGATTCAACATTTGCATTTTCAGCTGGAGCATCTGAAGCATCTGCTGATATCTGGTGATCTACCAGATAAATCTGACAGAGATGACCATCTTCTTGGTCTTCTCAAGTCTGCACAGGAGGAGAGAGAAGAACTCATGAGAAAGCAGACAGAGTGGTGTAATGCTGTGCATTGCTTGGAATCAGAATGTAAAGAAGCTCAAGAGGCCGAGGAGAAAATGAGAGGGAAATACAGGTGAGTTCAGTGTATGCATTGTACAGCTGACACCTGGATGTGTGTATAGACTGCAGCAGCTACAGTCAAGTGGGATCAGACTGCTGACTTTTATACACACACATATATAAAACTAATAGTTTTAGTCAAAGTCAGCTCAGTAATTTTGTTCACATTGAGAATGAGTAGCATGGATTTTGTTTCTAGCTTTGGTCTCTTAAATACACTTCCACTCTTTCTTTACCTTTCTCTTTGTATAGCTGTCTATCTGTGTCACATGTGTGTGTCTGTTATCCCAGTCAACACACTGCACACTGGACATCCTCAACAGTGCTTAGTCCTCCCATGCAACAGCCACCCCAAAATATAGCTCTGCTGACTGTTGCCATGAGAAGTTGATTGCAGTGTCTCCTGTCCTGATCTCAAAGATGGCACAGGCTGGGCTCACTGGGAATAAATCCCAGATCATACAGTTGTATTAGCATCAGAGATTTATCATTATCCACTAGCCTAGACCATTCAGTCACACAGTCGTATTAGCATCAGGGAATTTATCATTATCCACTAGCCTAGACCATTCAGTCACACAGTCGTATTAGCATCAGGGAATTTATCATTATCCACTAGCCTAGACCATACAGTCACACAGTCGTATTAGCATCAGGGATTTATCATTATCCACTAGCTTAGACAATACACAGTCGTATTAGCATCAGAGATTTATCATTATCCACTAGCCTAGACCATACAGTCATACAGTCGTATTAGCATCAGAGATTTATCATTACCCACTAGCCTAGACCATACAGTCATACAGTCGTATTAGCATCAGAGATTTATCATTATCCACTAGCTTAGACCATACAGTCACACAGTCGTATTAGCATCAAAGATTTATCATTATCCACTAGCTTAGACCATACACAGTCGTATTAGCATCAAAGATTTATCATTATCCACTAGCTTAGACCATACACAGTCGTATTAGCATCAAAGATTTTTCATTATCCACTAGCTTAGACCATACACAGTCATATTAGCATCAAAGATTTATCATTATCCACTAGCTTAGACCATACACAGTCGTATTAGCATCAAAGATTTATCATTATCCACTAGCTTAGACCATACAGTCACACAGACGTATTAGCATCAGAGATTTATCATTATCCACTAGCTTAGACCATACAGTCATACAGTCGTATTAGCATCAGAGATTTATCATTATCCACTAGCCTAGACCATACAGTCACACAGTCATATTAGCATCAGGGATTTATCATTATCCACTAGCTTAGACCATACAGTCACAGTCATATTAGCATCAGAGATTTATCATTATCCACTAGCCTAGACCATTCAGTCACACAGTCGTATTAGCATCAGAGATTTATCATTATCCACTAGCTTAGACCATACAGTCATACAGTCGTATTAGCATCAGAGATTTATCATTATCCACTAGCCTAGACCATACTGTCATACAGTCATATTAGCATCAGAGATTTATCATTATCCACTAGCTTAGACCATACAGTCACACAGACGTATTAGCATCAGAGATTTATCATTATCCACTAGCCTAGACCATACAGTCATACAGTCGTATTAGCATCAGAGATTTATCGTTATCCACTAGCTTAGACCATACAGTCACACAGACGTATTAGCATCGGAGATTTATCATTATCCACTAGCTTAGACCATACAGTCACACAGTCGTATTAGCATCAGAGATTTATCATTATCCACTAGCTTAGACCATACAGTCACACAGTCGTATTAGCATCAGAGATTTATCATTATCCACTAGCCTCGACCATACAGTCACACAGACGTATTAGCATCAGAGATTTATCATTATCCACTAGCCTAGACCATACAGTCACACAGTGGTATTAGCATCAGAGATTTATCATTATCCATTAGCTTAGACCATACACAGTCACATTAACATCAGAGATTTATCATTATCCACATGCTTAGACCATACACAGTCGTATTAGCATCAGAGATTTATCATTATCCACTAGCTTAGACCATACACAGTCGTATTAGCATCAAAGATTTATCATTATCCACTAGCTTAGACCATACAGTCATACAGTCGTATTAGCATCAAAGATTTATCATTATCCACTAGCTTAGACCATACAGTCATACAGTCGTATTAGCATCAAAGATTTATCATTATCCACTAGCTTAGACCATACACAGTCGTAGAGGAATCAGCTCTGTCCATGCCTTCCCCAGGTGCAGTATTGCATTTCTTGCTTGTGTGTGCAGGCGGGGGAGCAAGCGCATGAATGTTAATGAGTGCATGCATTCTTCATAGAACTTTTGTTCCCATGTGTGTTCCAGGGCTCCATTGTGGGGATGGGGTAGAAATGGACCCACTGCCTCCCTAACAAGCATGTAGTAGAGTCGACTCATTAGGGGTATCCTTCAAAGAGTAAATCTGCCTTAGAGGCAAGGAACCAGCAGTCAGCATGAGTGTGAGTGAGTGAATGAGATTCAACCCCACTAGGATATCCACCAAGCGATAAACACCCGGTCACACTGACGAGAGGTCCCAGAAACCCTGTTCAACCGTTAGGTTATATTAGGGCCTCTGGCTACAGCCGGAGTGGGGATTTAAAATGAAGAAAAATTGTATTCCGTATCAGGACGACAGTTTGCTGTAAGCATGCAAATAAGCCAGATCTGTAAAATGGATGTCCACACAGGACTCAGGTTCTTGATCAGAACTAAAGTCTAGAAGTGGACAAACAACCAGAACTGTTCACTGTGGTTTAACACCGTTGAATACAAAGAAGAAGAAGAATTTTACTTCTACTGAACGGCGTGGTTTTTGTGAAAGAATTCTTTGTTTGCCACAGAAGAGGGGGACATAGTTTGCCACAGAAGAGGGGGACATAGTTTGCCACAGAAGAGGGGGACATAGTTTGCCACAGAAGAGGGGGACATAGCTGCTGCTGGCATGTTTCAAGTGTAGTCATTTCCTTCTTTAATTCATTTATTTATTCAAGCTATTTTGTGTTGAATTAACAGCTGTCTTTGTTTAAAAAAAATGTAAACAAAATACATAATATCCTTTTGGCTGTTTGTATTAAATGTGATATAACTCAGCTGCAATACTCAGTTTTAACATTTCTGACTGTTTATGATCTGTTTCCTCTGTGGTCTAGCACCGTGATTTTGATCTCTGGCTAATAGTTACATTGGTCTTCTCACAGACCACCCATATACACTCAGTTTTGATTGGTCGACCTTCAGCCTACCTCACTTCTGGTTGGTTGACCTTGAGCCATCTGACCTTCACACAAGGCGACGGGCTGTTCCGCAATGCCGTTGATATCGAGTGTTGTATATTTCACCATGCCAGAGCTTTTAACACTCTAAAAACATCTAAAGACTGGGTCTAACACACAACCCTTTTAGAGAGTGATGAAATCTATGTCACAGGCAGTCTGTTTCTCAGAATAAAAACATAAATGCAAGACAAAATCACTCAGGCCACACCCATAACCTCGATGACGGTAGACTAGTCCAAACAAAATTATCAATGGAACGTGACCTACTTCCCGTGGGAAGACTAACGTTTGTTTAAATGACCCCTGAATTTTATTTTTCTTTCTTTAAATTTAATTTTCTTTCTTCATCTCATTAGTGTTTTGATGTTATTATTTGTGTCAGAATAGTGGTGTTCTTTTTTTTTCCACTTCATTTTTTTCAAACCGAATGTTTTTTTTGTAATATATAAAATATATTTTGCCACAGTAGTTAGGAGATCAAAATTAGAATTTTGAGAGCATGCATCTTTCCTGTAGCAACATATGGATGTGAGTCGTGGACTATCTCCCAGTCCCTAAGAAAGAGAATAGGGGCTTTTGAGCTGAATGCTAAAGAAAGATTCTCAGAATATCTTGGACAAAAAAGAGATGAAATACTGTCATCTTGAAAGATCTGAACATCATGGAAGATTGGCTAATAAAAAGCACCCTGTCTCAGAAGGTAAAATATTTTGGTCACCTCAAGCGCCACGAGGGATTGGAAAATATTATAGCAGAAGGCATGGTACCAGGAAGAAGGGGCAGGGGCCGACCAACAGGAAGATGGGCACAGGATGTAAGTGACTCATTGAGTATGAAAGTGCATGAGGCGGGAGAGCTGGCGAGAGACCAAGTTTCTTTCAGACAGACCGTGATAAGAGCAACGTTCTGAAAAGGACCTGCTACATAATGAGTTAGTTATTATAGTTGGTTCAACATCTAATGAAGACACTTGCAGGGCATTTTCTCAAAAACTGCCTGTTAGATCACAACAATTTTGTGCATGCAGCCTTGGAGTCCATGCATGCTCGGGATGCTGAATACCAGCCAATTACTTTGATCTTTTTGAACCATTGTAGCCATTAAATATTTGAATTTCCGGTTCTATTTTTTGTTTGAGGCATGTCTCCATAGTACATTGATAGGTGAAGTAAATTTATTTGTAATTTATGTTCAACTGAGCTGAGTTGAGCTGTATCAAGAAAGACATCACAGCACTCAGTGCATTCCCATATGCACTCCGTCCCCATCTTCAGCAGCCAGCGCAGAGTTCCAATATTAATAGTACTGGTTCTAATCTGATTATATGTAAATCTTGCCATTCCTTTGAGTGTAATGTGACGGCCAGGCCCTCTGGTCACACCCAGGTGTATATTTTCTCCAAGCCATGATAATCTATGTTCTCTTCTGATTACTTGTTCCCAAAGGACCTTGACCACATCTGCCTTGTCATGTATCAATTTACCACCAAGTGATGCAGATCCAGCCAATCTGTCTGCCTTGTTCAGTTGTAAACATGTCCCCAATATGCAACAGTTAGTATTCCCCTTCGGTCATCATTAGACCACAGGGTGTATCTTAAATTGTACTACGGTTGACATATTTGGATATGGAGATGTGTTTGTTGCAACTGTAGATGTACCTAATGGGTTGATGATATTGAACCACTCATTGAAGAAATGGTTTTCAATCATTCCGAAGTTGATGATCTCTAAAGGTTCATAATTGTTACTGGCTGAACAAATTGTAATCTATCTCGGTGCCAGTACTCGTCTTCCTCTCGGAGCACATGTTTTACACACTTTTCCAGAAATGAATGTCTATTTTTGAGAAGGACTTTTTGAAATGTCAATACTGCATTGTGATTTCAATCTTAATTTCAGTTTCGGAGAGTAACAAGTTGATTTGTCTCCAACATGTTTAAGATCTCACGTCTAATGATATCTACATCAAAGTTGTCAACTTTTCTTTTCCGTCCTTGCTCGACATGAGTGTATTCTGTGTCCTGTCTAATCCAACAGTTAAATGATGCTTTATCCAGACCAAGCGCCAATCGTGTTTGTTTCTCTGCGTCATGAATATCACACTATCAGTGACCCATCTTAGATTCCCTGAGGAAGTGCTGGTACAGTCAAATGGTAACCTTCTGCACAGTAATAAAGTTGCATCTCAAATTCATTTTGAAATTGATGTTTATGTCAGCTTTTATCAGCTAGCTGTATGACACAATTACTCAACACTAATTAGTGGAAGCCTCTTTGACCTAACAACCTTGACCGTGTCTTATTTTGGTCACTAAGAGTGCGACCTTGCACAAGAGAAATCATGAAATTGCGTAGTTTTCTTTTGACCCCCCTGTTAAACCAATCATAGTGTGCATTACTTCCTGAAACTAATAAAAAGTAAACATTCCAAAAGTCTACCAAGACTGTTTCATAATAAAAATATAAATTATAAAGAAGGAAAAAAAACGACACATGATATTCTTCTTTAGTGAGAAAAATATTTCCTTAACCTCATGGATATTCTAAGTCTGCATGCAAAACATCATTGCGATATAACAGGCAGTTTTTGAGAAAATGTCGGCTCTGTGGTTAAGTCGATGCAAACGCTTCGTAATGCCGGGATACCGGGTTCGATCCCAGCTGCGGGCTATGCGCCTTGTGTTGGTTTTGACAGTGGTATCAGGGGGCCGACCGTCCAGGAAGCAATGGCAAACTATTGGATGTAAATTTGCCTAGAAAAACCACACAACAGCCAGGGGCTGCTGTGGTTGGTTTTGCAACGTCCTGTAAAGGATACGCAACTAACCTTTTGAGGAAATAGCTTGTGTGTGTGTTTATCTACTGTTGAAGGAACTATAGATATTGAATGATTAGATTACAGATTTCTGAGACCTTAGCGATGCTGATTTTTTAAAAATTTTTTAAACGAGAAATAACCATATTGTAATCTCACATTTTCAGTGTGCTTAAACTTGCTCATACGTCATTGAAGGCAGAGAAGGAGGCTTTAGAGAAACAGCTGTTGGAGATGAAAGAAGCCCAAACAGCAGAACAGACTGAAGTCACTAGACTGAAAACATTTCTGGAAAATGAAAGGAGCAAAGTGAGCAAACATTCCTAATGACAGCTACAATATTTCTTTACTACAGTAGGAACTCAAATGATCTATTATGACCAGATACAATTATTACAGTCAAACCTTGGTTTTAGAACTAACAAGAATTTTAAAAACAGAGTTGTCTTAAAACTGAAACTATGTTCCTCAAAACAGTGAATGCTAAATAGATTAACAGATAAAAACCTGTTATTAATGTTAATTACTAGTTAATTAATCAGTTTTTTAACTCCAGAATATTATTAATATATTGTAATTTTTATAACAGTACTTCATACATACAGTTGAATAGAAAATCAATGCGGATTTGTACAATCTGATTACACACAAAAAGAATAAACACAGTTAAGTTACAAATTATGGAGGAAATTGTTACCTTTTGGCTCCTTGTATTAATGAGGTGTGATATTGTGCACTAACTTGTCCGTGTAAACACTGTCAGTGTCCCAGTGTCTAGAAACAGATTATCATAGCAACCAACTGCCTCCAAGCATGCAATGTCTTTGTCTGGCCACATTTGTTATCAGGCTGAGTTCACAGTCCTGTTTGTCATTTGCACTCAAACTTTTCAAGAATGCCTAAACAATGGAGGATGTGGAAGGGATTGTTCCAGATTTCTACAAGTGGCTATGGTGTCTCAGAGGTGACTACAAAACCCTTAGAGTGAATGTTTTTGTGTAGTTTCTAAAAGTTCACAGATTCTGTGCCATATATAGGCTGGATTAGAGCAGTTGTTTGATACAAATTAAATTCCTGCTAACCTGGAGGGTGGGCAGAAGCAAGGAAATTCATGAAAAGACACACTGCACATCAAAGTGAGATTCTACACTGAGTGAAAGTTTTGCCACAATCTCATCTCATCCCGTGGTTTCAGAAATGGCTGGTCAGGACCACAGTTTTGCCACAATCTCATCTCATCCTGTGGTTTCAGAAATGGCTGGTCAGGACCACAGTTTTGCCACAATCTCATCTCATCCTGTGGTTTCAGAAATGGCTGGTCAGGACCACAGTTTTTGTTCATAAGCACCCCCCTCCCCTTTCCCCAATTTTTTTTGGGGGGAAGGGGGAGGTGGGGTGCAGAATCCAAAATGTTGCAGAAGGGAAGTGTTCAAGAGGAGTGGTTCCACTACATACATGCATGTGTTTTTGCATATCTGTGTGCATGTTTATGCCTTTGTGCATGTTATGGAAAACACTCATGAAAGTTAGAAGTATAAAATAGAAAGTAAATTAACATGATCTCAAGATAGCCCATTGACCTAGAAGATTTCCTGCTAGGTGACTGAATTTGAGACAACCAGGCATGCTCATGACAAGAATGATTTGGAAGCACTACTGCACACAGCCAGACTTGACAAAGACAGGGCAGAGCAGAAGCTAACAGATCTCATTGAGGCTCTGGCTTTATCTCAGCATGAGGTGATCAGACTGAAGGATTGTCTGTCTAGCAAGGAGCAAGAACTAACAGGTATGGTTTCTCAAGAACAGTCAATGCTAGATCTCGCAGTATGTGTGCATCCTGTCGGTGGTAGCTTTAGGACAGTTAATGACAATCAGGTACATTTGTTAATAAACTTGACAAATAAAAGAAAGACAAACAAATAGAATATAAACCCAGTCAACAAATACCTGCAGATGTCGTATGTGTCAGCCGAAAGGTGCAAGTATAGCAGCCATGCTGTTAATGGGCATGATGCAGTTACATCTTCGGATGAATGCAGAAGAAGAAGAATACAAACAATTCAGTGAAGGTGTTTGTCAGTTAATAAAACAGAGGAGAACAGTAATTTACTGAAACAGGATATATACTAAATGACAAATCAGAAATATGCTAAATTCCCTTTGGTCATTAAAATGTCACTACAATCTAAAATAAACAGAAAGTAGAAGCCAGAAGTTCAAGGAGATAAACAAGAACGAATGAAATCAACACAGAAAGGTGGCAGATCAAAGTAAAGGACCCTATTCCACACCTTTAGGCATATTGGGCATATAGGGCTTCACCTATATTTTATAGACCAATCAGCACTCGGTGAATGATGTGGTCAACATCATGCTAGCCACCTTTACTTCCCAGGACTATACCCGGTACCCACTCAAGGCCGGGCAAATGATAGGGATGATTAAAATTCAATGCATATATGTGTGCATGCATACATATATCTGGCTATCTGGAAAGGGATTTGCTCCATGCTACATTAACTCACTGGTAGTTTTGGACGCTCACCGTCATGTTAAAATCACGATTTTTGTTATGAATTTAGTTGAAACCTTTATTTAGCCCATTTATTTCTCTATTTTAATTAAGGGAAACAACTTTGTAGTGCTTATACTATATATTTGATGAATTTTAAGCGTTAACGTCGGCAGTGTGGCTAAGTCGATGAGAACGCTTCGTAATGCCAGGGTGCCGGGTTTGATCCCAGCTGCGGGCTATGTGCCTTGCGTTGGTTTCGACAGTGGTATCAGGGGGCCGACCGTCCAGAAAGCAATGGCAAACTACTGGACGTAATTTGCCTAGAGAAACCACACAACAGCCAGGGGCTGCTGGGGTTGGTTCTGCGACGTCCTGTAAAGGATACGCAACTAACCTTAAGCATTAACTCCGATGTCGGCGACGATTGACAAACATTTTCGTCGGTCACAATAAAATGACCACTTGGTTGAAATATTTAATAATGTGATACATATCAAACTTTCATGGTCTTTTATTGACAGTGTGAAACGTTTGCATGCATCTGTCCTGCAGAACTATTCCCCTTTTTCTTCTGTAAGGAGTTAGAAACATTAACCTCATGACCCAACTTGTTGATTGCATTTGGTTTCTTACTATGGCTTCAGTTTAACCATTACTGACTGCAACTGCTTCATTCTTAGTGCACTTCAGACAGGTGTCATTTTTCTGATATAGCAGTTTGAAGTAACATGTCGTCAAAGTTTATCCATATATGAAGGAGACAATGGACAGTCAGCATATTGGTTTGAAATTGTATGAAAGCTGCAGAAGTGAAGTTTTATTGAAGAATGATAACACCATAGGAAGAATGAATGAACAACACTGCACTGGGGTCACACCCACACCTGCTCCATCGCTTTCAGACATACAGACTCTGTCGCATACATACCCACACATGTATTGTTCTCTCGTTGCCTTCTTTTCTTCAGACATACCCACTCTGTTGCACATTGTTCTCACACGTGTTGCCTTCTTCAGACATACCCACACGTACTCTGTCGCATTCTTCAGACATACCCACACGTACTCTGTTGCCTTCTTCATACATACCCACACATACTCCGTTGCCTTCTTCGGACATACCCACACGTGCTCCGTTGACTTCTTCAGACATACCCATACGTACTCCGTTGCCTTCTTCAGACATACCCACATGTGCTCCGTTGCCTTCTGCGGTAAACAACGTTAAGTTGACATGCTAACAGTACCACTTGCAACCTGATTAAACGTCTCCCTCAGTTTCCCCTCTAATTTTGAATATCTTTTAGAACCTCTTCTCACTCCCCATTGAATTAGTTTTTCAGTGTATGGATTGCCTATCTGTTCTTTTGCACTGTCCATTTGATGCCATAGAGCTTCACCACGTCCTCTTTATCAAATAATTGGTCATTGCCCAGAGGAGCGGCAGCAACCAATCTATCAGGCTTTTTGTTATCTCACACACCCGAATATCCTGGATAGAATATTTGTGATTTGCGTGTGTATTACTGTCATGAACATGAACAAATTTAGCATCAACCAAATTGACTGCAACTGGAATATCATAAACCAGAAACTGATTCTACTTGTATATTATCAAAGACATTAACATGGCAATCTAAATGCAGGCAGAGAAGAAGAAGAAAATGTTTTCTTTTATCATGAGTGTTTTAACAGCAGACACCAGGACAACAATGGTAAGACCAAGCTGTGACCAATATAACCACTTCAAAACTTACAAATGATCTGATCATATTTGTTCTGTGGATTAGTTGTAGTGTAATCTCTTCTGTCTTGCGTGTGTGTTTGTTTTTAAATTTTTAATTTTGACATTGCTAAAACTTGTGGACTCCTCAGAAATCTGCAACAGTGCAAAGACTCAGATGTCTGTCCTGCAGTCTAGACTGGATGCAGTGGAAAAAGAAAAACTGGAATCTGAGAGGAAAGAAGACATTCTGAGAAAACATGCAGATCAACTGGAATCAGACTGTGACAGGTACAGTGAAAACATCCACTTTTAGTTTAGAGCAGAGCTGCATTTTGACAGTTTAATCAACAAATCTCTGCGTCAAACAGAATCCTATCTTTTTCAAATAAAATCAAAATAATTGATGTGAAATATTTTGTGCTGAATCTATATTTTTTTTAGAAATGTATGCTTTCTGGAGTAAAACTAATTTTGGATTGTGAACAAATGTTCTAGTTACCCAGTGAAGTGAAATGTTACTGAGATGTCATCTGAATAATGCATATTTGTTGTTAATCCACGAATAATGAATGAATGAATAAATGCAAAGAAGATACACAGTGTTTGTTTCTGAAAGTGGGGAGAGCAAAAACAGAAAGTAACATTTCTTCAGGGGCTGTAATTCATAATTGTTAGGGACAGGAAAATGTGTCATATGAGCCATATATTTGTATAATTCTGCAGATATAAAGAAGAGAAAAGAAGTTTGACTGTAAAACTGCAGGAGGCTCAGTCAGAACTCAGGTGTACCAAGCAGCAGAAACAGATCATGGAAGCAGAGCTACAGGAGGTGAGGTTCATATCTCCAGGATTTTTATCACCGGCATAACTTTTTACAGCCATATGCTTGAGTGCTCTAGCCATTTTGGCAGATTCATTGTCATATACATGTGCTTGATGTCATTTGTATCATGATGTCATATGTACTTTTCCTATTATTTTCATCTTTCTTGCTCATTGTTTTTGTTCTGGATGAAATAAAATTATTTAAACCTCTGGAGCATTGAACAAATAAAACAAGCATATCTTGTTCATCATGCTAGAAGACGAGTGCAGAGATGGAGGAAAGGAGCTCAACGAGATTTTCTTAGGCATGAAAATCATTGTTTTGATCACACACATAATTAGCAGTTGAAAGATATGAATGCTTGAACTAAAGGTCAGATAATAAGGTAAAGAAGGTTAGTTACTAATTTAGAAATAATCCATTCTTTGGAGTCTGTTTCTTCTTTTTCTTAGCGTTCACCAGCTGTAAACTCCATCAGAAAGTTCTGGTTGTTGCTCACTAGTTGTATGCAGACAGTTAGTCTTTCACTCATCATTAGTTGTATGCAGACAGTTAGTCTTTCACTCATCATTAGTTGTATTCAGACAGTTAGTCTCTCACTCATCATTAGTTGTATGCAGACAGTTAGTCTTTCACTCATCACTATTTGTATGCAGACAGTTAGTCTCTCACTCATCACTAGTTGTATTCAGACAGTTAGTCTCTCACTCATCACTAGTTGTATTCAGACAGTTAGTCTCTCACTCATCACTAGTTGTATGCAGACAGTTAGTCTCTCACTCATCACTAGTTGTATTCAGACAGTTAGTCTCTCACTCATCACTAGTTGTATGCAGACAGTTAGTCTTTCACTCGTCACTATTTGTATGCAGACAGTTAGTCTCTCACTCATCACTAGTTGTATGCAGACAGTTAGTCTTTCACTCGTCACTATTTGTATGCAGACAGTTAGTCTCTCACTCATCACTAGTTGAATGCAGACAGTCTCTCACTCATCACTAGTTGCATGCAGACAGTTAGTCTTTCACTCATCACTAGTTGTATGCAGACAGTTAGTCTCTCACTCATCACTAGTTGTATGCAGACAGTTAGTCTTTCACTCATCACTAGTTGTATGCAGACAGTTAGTCTCTCACTCATCACTAGTTGAATGCAGACAGTTAGTCTCTAACTCATCACTAGTTGTATGCAGACAGTTAGTCTTTCACTCATCATTAGTTGTATTCAGACAGTTAGTCTCTCACTCATCACTAGTTGTATGCAGAAAGTTAGTCTTTCACTCATCATTAGTTGTATTCAGACAGTTAGTCTCTTACTCATCACTAGTTGAATGCAGACAGTTAGTCTTTCACTCGTTACTATTTGTATGCAGACAGTTAGTCTCTCACTCATCACTAGTTGAATGCAGACAGTCTCTCACTCATCACTAGTTGTATGCTGACAGTTAGTCTCTGACTCATCACTAGGTGTATCCAGACAGTTAGTCTTTCACTCATCGCTAGTTGTATGCAGACAGTTAGTCTTTCACTCACCACTAGTTGTATGCAGTTAGTCTCTCACTCATCACTAGTTGTACGTAGACAGTTAGTCTGTCACTCATCACTAGTTGAATGCAGATAGTTAGTCTCTCACTCATCACTAGTTGAATGCAGACAGTTAGTCTCTTACTCATCACTAGTTATATGCAGACAGTTAGTCACTCATCACTAGTTGTATGCAGACAGTTAGTCTCTCACTCATCACTAGTTGTATGCAGACAGTTAGTCTCTCGCTCATCACTAGTTAAATGCAGACAGTTAGTCTCTTACTCATCACTAGTTGTATGCAGACAGTTAGTCACTCATCACTAGTTGTATGCAGACAGTTAGTCTCTCGCTCATCACTAGTTAAATGCAGACAGTTAGTCTCTTACTCATCACTAGTTGTATGCAGACAGTTAGTCACATCATCACTAGTTTTTGATGCAGACAGTTAGTCACTCATCACTAGTTTCATGCAGACAGTTAGTCTCTCACTCATCACTAGTTGTATGCAGACAGTCTTTCACTCATCACTAGTTGTATGCAGACAGTTAGTCACTCATCACTAGTTTCATGCAGACAGTTAGTCTTTCACTCATCACTGGTTGTATGCAGACAGTTAGTCTCTCACTCATCACTAGTTGTATGCAGACAGTTAGTCTCTCGACTCATCACTAGTTAAATGAAGACAGTTAGTCTCTTACTCATCAACTAGTTGTATTGCAGACAGTTAGTCACTCATCACTAGTTGTATGCAGACAGTTAGTCTGTCGCTCATCACTAGTTAAATGCAGACAGTTAGTCTCTTACTCATCACTAGTTGTATGCAGACAGTTAGTCACTCATCACTAGTTGTATGCAGACAGTTAGTCACTCATCACTAGTTTCATGCAGACAGTTAGTCTCTCACTCATCACTAGTTGTATGCAGACAGTCTTTCACTCATCACTAGTTGTATGCAGACAGTTAGTCACTCATCACTAGTTTCATGCAGACAGTTAGTCTTTCACTCATCACTGGTTGTATGCAGACAGTTAGTCTCTCACTCATCACTAGTTGTATGCAGACAGTTAGTCTCTCGCTCATCACTAGTTAAATGCAGACAGTTAGTCTCTTACTCATCACTAGTTGTATGCAGACAGTTAGTCACTCATCACTAGTTGTATGCAGACAGTTAGTCTCTCGCTCATCACTAGTTAAATGCAGACAGTTAGTCTCTTACTCATCACTAGTTGTATGCAGACAGTTAGTCACTCATCACTAGTTGTATGCAGACAGTTAGTCACTCATCACCAGTTTCATGCAGACAGTTAGTCTCTCACTCATCACTAGTTGTATGCAGACAGTCTTTCACTCATCACTAGTTGTATGCAGACAGTTAGTCACTCATCACTAGTTTCATGCAGACAGTTAGTCTTTCACTCATCACTGGTTGTATGCAGACAGTTAGTCTCTCACTCATCACTGGTTGTCTTCTGTTTCATGTTTACTGAATGTAAACTTCAGCACAAAGTCCTGATTGTTTATCTTCTTGTGGACTTTGGTCTTGTTTCAGAATTTGAGTTTTGCGTGCGCATACATTTCACAGATCTGACTTAGTTGTGTGCAAACTCTTGGTTTCTTGTCTCTCAGACAGATTAATCCAACTTTGAAGGAAACACCCCTAATTAATCACTTTTATGTAGAGTGAGTGTCCATCCCCCCCCCCCCCCTTTCCCCCCGAGTGGAACCCTGGAACCTCACAGATGTGAGGCATAGAGATCTCCTGCTGACAATACCATAGGGCTACAGTTCGTAGCAAGAGGAATCAACAGCATGGAAGGACACTAGGGCACAGACAGTTGTGGAAATCATCAAACACTGGCCAAATTGTCACCAAAGCTGGAAATCATCCAACACTGGCCAAATTTCCACCTTGAAATCAACATCATATAAATGCAGATGCAGAATTCATGTTATCTATAAAATGTTATTTGAACAGCATTCACAATTATGACTTCTAGTCTCCAACATCCGCATTTAAGATACATATATAATTATTGTGGGGTTTACAATGTTCTCTATACATGATATGATAAATACACTATAGAGATGATTTGTGTTCAGATTAGCTCCAAACATGATGTTGAGTCTGAGGAATGGAAACAGTTTCAAAGGGACTTGCAGACGGCAGTTGTCATTGCTAATAACTTTAGCCAGGAAACACAAGACAAGATGGATGCCATTACAGGCGAAAACAGTCAGCTGACTGAGCAGTTACAGCTCATGCAGAGGGAAATGGACAAGCTCCGACAAGAGAATATCATTTTGAAACAAACCAGAGAGGATTCTTCACTGAAGCAGTCTATATTAACCAATGCAGAGCTCAAAGGAAAGGTATGGTTCAAGTTTAGAGAAATGAACAGAATTTAAAAACTAGTCAGTAACAATATGTGAATGAATATTTATGACAAGGAGAACAAGTGTATGTCAGTAGTTAGATGACTAGACTAGTGTTTCTGATTTGTGACAAGGAGAACAAATGTATGTCAGTAGTTAGATGACTAGTGTTTCTGATTTGTGACAAGGAGAACAAGTGTATGTCAGTAGTTAGATGACTAGTGTTTCTGATTTGTGACAAGGAGAACAAATGTATGTCAGTAGTTAGATGAATGGTGTTTCTGATTTGTGACAAGGAGAACAAGTGTATGTCAGTAGTTAGATGAATGGTGTTTCTGATTTGTGACAAGGAGAACAAATGTATGTCAGTAGTTAGATGAATGGTGTTTCTGATTTGTGACAAGGAGAAGGAGAACAAGGAGAACAAGTGTATGTCAGTAGTTAAATGAATGGTGTTTCTGATTTGTGACAAGGAGAACAAGTGTATGTCAGTAGTTAGATGAATGGTGTTTCTGATTTGTGACAAGGAGAACAAGTGTGTGTCAGTAGTCAGATGTATGGTGTTTCTGATTTGTGACAAGGAGAACAAATGTATGTCAGTAGTTAGATGAATGGTGTTTCTGATTTGTGACAAGGAGAACAAATGTATGTCAGTAGTCAGATGTATGGTGTTTCTGATTGGTGACAAGGAGAACAAGTGTATGTCAGTAGTTAGATGACTAGATGTTTCTGATTTGTGACAAGGAGAACAAATGTTTGGCAGTCAGAAGTCAGCTGAATTGCGTTTTAATTGTTCAATGTCATGTAACACAACGTCAGATATTTACTGTTTGCTTTGCAGTGTAAAATTCACACTCTGGAGATTTTTTGACTATTCACGGTTTCAGTAATGTTGTTTTCTGTATTGAACAATATAATTTTAAAATAAACAAAGCTAAAGTAACTGTAAGGAAGCGGGGATGCACCTGTGATTGCCAGAAATATCTGTAGGTATTCCGACACACATCCCACTGATTTAGTTAAGTTGTGTTAAATAAGTATGGATTCATCATGTCTCATCCCAATAAGCTCAATTTCTAACACGATTATCAGAACCACAGATTAGGTCAGTGTTCTTATTTTGCCTATTACATGTGCCTAAGCCATCCAGGTATTTATATCTTTCCCTTTCCCTTGGCTTTCTTCCCATCAGTCGCCATTCATTACCAAGTTCTTCAGTCTGTTCCTTATAACGTGTATGAAACACATGACACCTTACTTCTGCTTATAACGTGTTTGAAACGCATGACACATTATTCTCCTTTTAAACGCATGACACTTCATACTTTTCTCAAGTGTTTGAAAAATGCCCTTAATTCACAATGTGTCTGAAACGCATGACACTTTACTTTTTCAAGTCAGCCCAGCACTGTGCACAGGCTCTGTAGCGCCGGCGAGAATGCCTGAAATACTTCAAGTTGATTTTAAACTTAAAATTGTGCCCGGGCAGGGCCATTTGACTACTCTTTTCGTTTTTCCAACTGCTAAGAGATTCTTTATGTGTGCACCAATGTACACGGGCATCTGATCTCACTACCCAGAGACCAGGGGCAATTACTAGAAGTCAAAGTCCATGTGAAAAAATCCCAGCCCTTACCGGGGATTGAACCCGGAACCTCTAGCACTTGAGGCGGACACCATGCCTTGAGACCACGCAGCTCCAGTTAAGACAATGATAGAGTATCAACTTTCAGAAGCACAGGTGGGCTTTCGACGCAGTAGGTTGCACAGATGCCATTTATACATTGAGACAACTAACAAAGAGAGCAATGGATGACGAGACCTGTTTGTTGACATTCGTAGACCAGGAAAAAGTATTCAATAGAGTAGACAGGAATTTGTTGTGGGAATGTGTGAGGTAAAAAGGGACAGCATTCACCTGGGAGGGGGGGGGGGGGGGGGGTGGGGGTGGAGAGAATATAATATGAGAATAAACACTACAAAGACAGAGACAATGGTGATAAGAAGACAGAAAAACAATTTAGAAATAAAATTTAAAAAGCGCTTTAAGCTAAAGCGAATCTTATTATAACTTTTTTTTGGGAACACACTATGCTATTGGTGCCAAATGTGGACACATACATCTTCTCATGAATGTAACATATTGACAACAGAAATGAAATGCTTTAGAAGAGCTGCAGGAGCTTCAAGGAAAGACAGAATACGAAATCAGACGAATGCTAGGAATAAAGTCCAGTCTTACAGGTTACCAAAGAACAAGAAAAAATAAGTGGTTTGGACATCTAACAAGAATGCCCGGGTACTATCTACCACATTTGAGCCACACTAAAATATTACAACGGGTATAGAGCAAGGGGAAGACCTCGTAAAACATGGAGTGATGGCATAAAGAACAGCCTTACAGAAATGAACATCAGTCTTAAAAGTGCTCTTGGCGGAGGTCATCAACGAATGTTATGTCTCCTCCTGACACTTCACTAAGGTACAAGATGGAAGAGGTGAAGATCTGTGTGGGTTCCAACGTCCCATTTAGGGAGGGGGGGGAGAAAAGACTCACTGCCTCCCTAACAAATATTTCGTAAAAGGTGACTGGTTAGGAGTGTTTCCTTCAACATCTGAGTGTCTGCCTGAGAAGCAAACAACCAACAGTATGCATATATATATATATGTATATAAATACAAGTATATATATATATAAATACAAGTATATATATATATAAATACAAGTATATATATATATATATATATATATGTTATAAAGTTGAGCCAGATCTGTAAAACAGATTTACACAAAAGACTCTAGTTCTGGAGCAAATCCAAAATCCAGAATTGGACGAACAACCAAAACTTTACACTGTAGTTTACAGCCAGTGAATGCTAAGGAGAAGAAGAAGAATGGAATTTAAATATTTGATTTTTGTGTGTGTGTGTGACTCATTTTCTAAAATTTTACGACAATCCCTAAAATTCTGAAGACAGTGTGAACAATTGTCTGTGACTTTCAGGTCCTGACATCCATGGACAGAGAACTTGCTGCCTTGAGGGAGGGCCGTCCACATATGGATCAGCGCAGTCAAAGCATCTCAGTCAAATCTCTTATCCGCTCTATTGAAGAGCAGGTAAAGTCAGGATGTTCCTCAATACATTCAAGCCATTCAGAGTCCCGACGAAGTTCCAATTCTTCAGACATCTCTATTGCATCTCTAAAAGAATTTGTAAAGTCTCCTGCATTATCACTGTCAGTGTCTGAAGGACCAGGCTCACCAACTAATGACTTCAGTTTGAGGCCATCGTTCATGAAATGCAAAACTTCAGAAAAGTCTCCAAATGCAAGGCCTGCCTCTGATGGTGCTAGTGCTGCAGGAATGCCAAGTCCTGAGGGACCAGCACAACAGTTACAAGGGTCTACAGCTGATGCTGGGGAGCCTGTAGCTGTGGGAAAAGTGGTCACCCAGATATCATCCATTCTTAAAGACAGGACTACACCAAGGAGAAGCAGTGGAATCGTGTGAGTCTCTACACTTGTTTTTTTGTTACCTTCTGATTTCATCTACACATTATTTTCTTTTTATAGTTTGATTTAAGAAGAAAAGTATATGTCTGATTATCAATTTGTTGTTTTTCTGCAATACTTTCTTCTACCTTTATGTTTATATTTGTCAGGTAAAATAAAATTTCAAAGGAAAGAAAACATTCAGAATGTTAAAAAAAAAGAAAAATAAAAAAGAAAGATATTTCAGAATTCCATAGTATGCTTCATTTTCGTAGCAGATGGCACAATACCTTTTCAAACCCTGTCACTAGGAATGCTAAAGAATGGGGCACAATGGGAATCTCCCCCATCCCGAGGACAAATCTGTTTAAAAACAACCAGTTTGCACAGATCACTAATAAATTTTGTAAGCATTTGTTTATCTACATTAAAAATAAAAGTAAAAATATCTGGTACGCTCTCCAGAATGAAGGTTGGCTGCAATGTATTTCACTGAATATTTCACCTCTAACTTTGTCTACACCTTTCTCTCACCTTGGGCATTTCTCTTCAGTGTGGATTTTAAATGAGTGGTATTTTAACATGGCTGAAATATTTCAGTTGTCTCCTTTTTTATTTCAGTAATTCTCCTTTCATTCACAATCTCTTCAGAACCTCTGTATTTGATTGTTTTACATTTTTTGAAAGGAAATATGTCAAGATGTATCAAGGATGTCATCAGTAAATACGAACAGAGCGAAACATTCAATGTAATACATTCCCTGCGGCCTAAAAACAAATTTTGTGGGCCACTCATGCTGTTACCTCCGTCACTGAGGCTGTGAAGAAAATCTGACTTCATCAGAGCTTAAACTCCTTGAGTCCCAGAGGGTTTAGCATCAGAGGCCCAAGGGGTGGTCAAAAGAGACGTAAAATCGGTGCATCTTGCGTTCATTGGGCCTATAAGTTGGAACATATGAATGTATGATGCGTTCCTTGGGACTCAGAGAGTTAAAAAGCTGTTCAGTTTACAAAAAAAAAAAAACCTAAAAACTCTTTTTCTGTTGATATATTCATACCCTGACCTCCTAAATAGGGATATTAGGTTCTGCTCCTGGGATATTAGGTTCTGCTCCTGGGATATTAGGTTCTGCTCCTGGGATATTAGATTCTGCTCCTGGGATATTAGGTTCTGCTCCTGGGATATTAGGTTCTGCTCCTGGGATATTAGGTTCTGCTCCTGGGATATTAGGTTCTGCTCCTGGGATATTAGGTTCTGCTCCTGGGATATTAGGTTCTGCTCCTGGGATATTAGGTTCTGCTCCTGGGATATTAGGTTCTGCTTCTTGCTCTTCTGACTGCCTTGACCCTGGACACATGATTCTGTTGTAGAGTTTCTGTGGTGTTATCTTTCTTTCTTGTTCTTGCTCTAAAGCCTTCTCATCTTTTAGTGTTTGCTTTGTATGGTATAACATCAAAAAGGCATTCTCTCTAAGACTTCCGGTTAAAATGGACGCTAGACAGCGGCGCCGTTCGGAACAGATGCTTCTGCCGGACGGTGGCCGATGCATTTTTGCTCCATTTGTAGACTGGATATAGTTTCGTCGCCCAGCTTCTGAGTTGAATGCATGGCGTGACCCTGTGAGCTGCGGATTGCATTTGGAATGTTTTTTTTTTTACTGTGACCAACGTGGTGGTGTGAATTGTAGATTCAGAAAATGGCGCGATGCCTGTCGTTCAATGCTGGCGGGACCCGTATTAAAATTGATCACGCGGACAACTGCTGATCTGTTGACGACAAGTTCTGCTATCATCAATGATGAACTGCATTTCTAATGTTGGACTGTTTGTGTTAGCACTTCGGATGGCTACCATATGCTTTAATGCGAGTGTATGCTAGATATGCTGAGACAGCAGTCTGTCAATCTTTCCACAAGGGACTGTGATAGACATTCTGAGTGTTTTTCGCTGGCACAGGAGCGGAGCAAAGATGGGGCAACCCGTTTGCTATGAAGCTGAAACTAAGACTACCAGACTACCAGACTACCAGTCTCTCTAAGTGGTCAAGCCATTTGTTTTTGTTTTCTATGTATATAATTTAGAATTGGTTGCCAACGTTTTCTCTTATGACCTCATTTCTGATTGTATCATTCCTAGTTCTTCCTGCAGCCCTTCTCAGACATGTGATTTCTGTGGCTACTAATGTTCTTGTGTGCTTTCTTGTGAGTGACCATGTCTGGCACTGTTAGTGTAGGGTGGAAGTGAATATACTTTTGACAGGTGTTTCTTTCTGCTGATCTGGATTTTCATATGCTGTAAAAAAAAAAGGGGGAGGGGGCGAGGATGGCTAGCTATCTCAGTCCTTGGTGTGTTTTACTACATCAGATGCTGATTTCTTCATCCAATGTCCCATCTTCAGTTAAGGTTGTGCTGGAACAAACTACAGGAGAACAGCATGCCGACCAAACAAATGAGATGGGTGGAGGGAGTAAAAGAGACACTATAACTTGCCACTTGCAGAATACAGGAGACTACAACTAACTGCTCTCTGCAACACTTTACAGCTCAAGCAGCAGGCCAAAAGAGGAAGATTGTGAATGTTGTTCACATGCCTGTTGAATCCTTCTAATGCACTCTGCTGCTATATTTAGATTCTGCTTCTCTCTTCCTATTGACATAACTTCTATCTTTTCAGTTTTGATTCTCATATTATTTGTTTTACATTTTTCATACATAGATGTTAGATGTTGTAGTTTCATGGCTGTATCTGTTACCAAAGCCTGGTCATCAGCAAAGAGTAATTTGTGTCCCACATGGCTTTTTGACAGAGTGGCTAGCTGCCTGCCACCAGTGATGCACAAATTCCAACACTCCAGTAATGATCCACAGGCATCTCTGTCAATGTTCCTCTCCTGAATGCAATGACACAGTCTGTGAAATGAAGCCATCACCTTCAGACCCGAGAGCAAACAGTTTTAACTCCTTAGCCACAAAGACCCACAACTCTCTTTTTTAAAATACACAAGAACATGTCTTCCTACCTGTAAGGTTAATTCTTTTCTCTGTGATACATCTTGATTTCTGATAGCTGAAATAAGTGCATGATAACAGTGTATGATAACAGTGTATGGTAACAGTAACACTGTATGGTTACAGTGTAAGATAACAGTGTATGGTAACAGTGTATGGTAACAGTGTATGGTAACAGTAACACTGTGTGGTTACAGTGTAAGATAACATTGTATGGTAACAGTGTATGATAACAGTGTATGGTAACAGTGTATGATAACAGTGTATGGTAACAGTGTATGATAACAGTGTATGGTAACAGTGTATGGTAACAGTGTATGGTAACAGTGTATGGTAACAGTAACACTGTGTGGTTACAGTGTAAGATAACATTGTATGGTAATAGTGTATGATAACAGTGTATGGTAACAGTGTATGATAACAGTGTATGGTAACAGTGTATGGTAACAGTGTATGATAACAGTGTATGATAACAGTGTATGGTAACAGTGTATGATAACAGTGTATGGTAACAGTGTATGGTAACAGTGTATGGTAACAGTGTATGATAACAGTGTATGGTAACAGTGTATGATAACAGTGTATGGTAACAGTGTATGATAACAGTGTATGATAACAGTGTATGGTAACAGTGTATGGTAACAGTAACACTGTGTGGTTACAGTGTAAGATAACATTGTATGGTAACAGTGTATGATAACAGTGTATGATAACAGTGTATGGTAACAGTGTATGATAACAGTGTATGGTAACAGTGTATGATAACAGTGTATGATAACAGTGTATGGTAACAGTGTATGATAAAAGTGTATGGTAACAGTGTATGATAACAGTGTATGGTAACAGTGTATGATAACAGTGTATGGTAACAGTGTAGGATAACAGTGTATGATAACAGTGTGTGTGCAGTTTATAAATTGTTTAACAAATATGTTTGGTAACAGAAGATTGTGATGCCTGTTTCCTCAGCAGTTTGGCCAGCAAGTTGCTTAATAATGTTGTTGATTTAAAAAAAAAAAAATGCCAGTCCTCATTTTTGAAAATAGTTAACATAATTATTTGTCTGCAACTGATTACAGTGAAGTAGATGTTCCAAAGAAGGAAACGCCAGGGAAAGATCCTTTAGCCTCACTTGCCAAGCTGATGAAGGGATCCAAACGCAATGCTCTTCTCAAGTGGTGCCAGTTAAAAACCATTCCATATTCAGTAAGTTGTTGTTGTGATGATGTTATATGCTATGCTTAACATTGTTGATTCCAGAATAAAATCAGTGTCAGCTCTGTGGCTAAGTTGATGCGAATGCTTCGTAATGCCCGGATGCCGGGTTCGATCCCAGCTGCGGGCCATGCACCTTGCGTTGGTTTCAAAAGTGGTATTAAGAAAGCCGATTTTCCAGAAAGCAGTGGCAAACTACTGGACGTAAATTTGCCTAGAAAAACCACACAACAGCCAGGGACTGTTGGGGTTGGTTCTGCAATCTCCTGTAAAGGATACGCACCTAACCTATCAAATCAGTACTGTTGCTTGGAGCGGAAACATGCAGAGCAGCTAAGGCAATTACTAATAAACCACAAACATTCATTAACTGGTGCCTGCTCAGAATAAAGGAAATTAAATGTATGATAGAATCACTCATGTAGAGGTTTGGGAGTGAACTAAACAGGCTTCAGTGGACCAAGAGGTCAAGAAAAGATGCTGGCATTGGTTAGGACACGTTGAGAGAATCTGAGAACAATATAACTAGAATGTTTTGTCACTGGAACCCACAGGGACATAGAAATAAACAAAGATAAAAAAGAAATGGAGAGTGGAGCTAGAGAGTGAAGTTAAAAAGATAGTGAGGACATGGGGAGAGCTGCATGCAGTAGCGAAAGATAGAACGACTGTGAGTTGATTGAGGACCAACGACTGTGAGTTGATTGAGGACCAACCACTGTGAGTTGATTGAGGACCAACCACTGTGAGTTGATTGAGGACCAACCACTGTGAGTTGATTGAGGACCAACCACTGTGAGTTGATTGAGGACCAACCACTGTGAGTTGATTGAGGACCAACCACTGTGAGTTGATTGAGGACCTATGCTCCATTGGGGGCTAGAAGGCAGAAGAAAAGATGTTATATGTAGATAGGAAATATGTTGCATGACATATACTGGCTTGCCATTAGTTTCAAACCTAATAAACATCTCTTATGACAGTAACTGAGCCCATTGTACGAGTACACCCCATTGTGCAACAAATTACTGATGATGCATCATCAAGATCAAATCATCAAATACAGCACATTATGCTAGTAATGTTTATTGCACTATCTTGCAGTAGGCCATCACGGTCCTCATTATGCTAGTAATGTTTATTGCACTATCTTGCAGTAGGCCATCATGGTCCTCATTTTGTTAAAAGCAAATAGCATTGTGAAGTCCTGGAATAAGACCATAGTCCAGAAGTGGACAGGTGAGAAATGCTCAGATACAAAAACTTTTTTGTTGGCATTTCTGGAAGAGAACACTATTATGAACAATTAAAATGAGGAAAGGATGCAGTTGTAATGGCTGAATACAGAGGTGCTTGATATGTGTGAAGTGTTTGGGATACATGTGACATGTTTGGGGTGCATGTGAAGTGTTTAGGATACATGTGACTTGTTTGGGGTACATGTGAAGTGTTTAGGATACATGTGCAGTGTTTGGAATACATGTGCAGTGTTTGGGATACATGTGAAGTGTTTCGGATACATGTGCAGTGTTTGGTATACATGTGCAGTGTTTGGGATACATGTGAAGTGTTTGGGATACATGTGCAGTGTTTGGTATACATGTGCAGTGTTTGGGATACATGTGCAGTGTTTGGGATACATGTGAAGTTTTTGGGATACATGTGCAGTGTTTGGTATACATGTGCAGTGTTTGGGATACATGTGAAGTGTTTCGGATACATGTGCAGTGTTTGGTATACATGTGCAGTGTTTGGGATACATGTGAAGTTTTTGGAATACATGTGAAGTGTTTGGGATACATGTGAAGTTTTTGGGATACATGTGCAGTGTTTGGTATACATGTGCAGTGTTTGGGATGTGATATTCTATCTGCACAAAACAAATCATGAGCCATGTGATGTTCTATCTGCACAAAACAAATCATGTGCCATGTAATGTTCTATCTGCACAAAACAAATCATGAGCCATGTAATCTTCTATCTGCACACAACTCATCATGTGCCATGTAATCTTATATCTGCACAAAACTCATCATGTGCCATAAGATGTTATATCTATACAGAATGCATATCCTTTATCCCTCAAAAACTGATGAAAATTTTCACAACATATATTCTTTGTGTAAAGAGCATATTTGGGAATCACATGGATTTATTTATTATTCTGGTTAGTTATTTAGAATTTAGGTGTCATTATTTTTTATTTATATGCATGTTTATGTACTTTATTTTCACATAATTCACCAACAGGAAATTATATATTAAAAAAAAAAAACACTTTATGAGGGGTGCTAACTCTAATGATTTAACTCACACTTATCAACACATGACACTGATTCTGGACTATTCTGGTGTCATTTGTAGACAGATGTTTAGCTTTGTATGCTTTTACTCCTGTGTCAGGTTAAAACTATTGATATTTCTTGTTAGCATGGAAACAAGAAGAAATCTAGTAGCTCAGTTACAAGAAAATGTCCATGTCATAAACATAACAGGTCACTTGTTGGTAACAAGAAAGCAACTAAACAAGCAATTTTCAATTAGGAGAATAATATTGGCCCAGCTGCCAACAAAATTAAATTGCAAGAGGGCTATCTTTCCAATCAACAAAATCAACTTGTATTTCTCCTCATGTACCTTATGCAAAGCTTACAACATCATGACCTTATGCAAAGCTTACAACATCATGACCTTATGCAAAGCTTACAACATCATGACCTAATGCAAAGCTTACAACATAATGACCTCATGCAGAGCTTCCAACATCATGACCTTATGCAAAGCTTACAACATCATGACCTCATGCAAAGCTTACAACATCATGACCTCATGCAGAGCTTCCAACATCATGACTTCATGCAAATCTTACAACATCATGACCTCATGCAGAGCTTACAACATCATGACCTCATGCAAAGCTTACAACATCATGACCTCATGCAAAGCTTACAACATCATGACCTCATGCAAAGCTTACAGCATCATGACGTCATGCAGAGCTTACAACATCATGACCTCATGCAAAGCTTACAGCATCATGATGTCATGCAAAGCTTACAACATCATGACCTCGTGCAAAGCTTACAACATCATGACCTCATGCAAAGCTTACAGCATCTTGACCTCATGCAAAGCTTACAACAACATGACCTCATGCAAAGCTTACAACATCATGACCTCATGCAAAGCTTACAACATCATGACCTCATGCAAAGCTTACAACATCATGACCTCATGCAAAGCTTACAACATCATGACCTCATGCAGAGCTTACAACATCATGACCTCATGCAAAGCACATGATTTGTTTTGTGCAGATAGAACATCACATGGCTCATGATTTGTTTTGTGCAGATAGAACATTACATGGCACATGATTTGTTTTGTGCAGATAGAACATTATATGGCACATGATTTGTTTTGTGCAGATAGAACATTATATGGCACATGATTTGTTTTGTGCAGATAGAACATTATATGGCACATGATTTGTTTTGTGCAGATAGAACATTACATGGCACATGATTTGTTTTGTGCAGATAGAACATTACATGGCACATGATTTGTTTTGTGCAGATAGAACATTACATGGCACATGATTTGTTTTGTGCAGATAGAACATTACATGGCACATGATTTGTTTTGTGCAGATAGAACATTACATGGCACATGATTTGTTTTGTGCAGATAGAACATTACATGGCACATGATTTGTTTTTTAAAGCTAGAACATTACCAGTTAAAAACAGAAAATTACATGGTTTCTGATTTTAACGACATGTAAATTACAGATAGAACATTACATGGTACATGATGTTAACTATGTTCATTGTATATATGTACAACATAGGGCACATGATGTTTTTTGCAGATACAACTGTGATAGCACTTTAAATGGCACATGATGTTTTTTGCATAGATACGTCTGTGGTATAACTATATGAACATGATTTTAAGGATATGTAAAAAAAAACAGATATAACATATAATGGCACATGATGTTAGGGATGTTTATTGTATGGAGGTAACATCACATGACACAAGATGTCAGGGATGTTTATTGCACAGATTATCTGATAATGATATGATTGCTTTATTTTTCTCATAAGTGTTTGTGTTACTTCATATATCTCATGTAACAAATATATTTTGTGTGCAAGAAACATAACATTCTCGTGTGTCAATAAATATGCTGTGGACCAAGGATTGAAACCAAGCTGTCAACTATCTCACAAGCCATTCTTGTGTGTCAATAAATATGCTGTGGACCAAGGATTGAAACCAAGCTGTCAACTATCTCACAAGCCATTCTTGTGTGTCAATAAATATGCTGTGGACCAAGGATTGAAACCAAGCTGTCAACTATCTCACAAGCCATTCTTGTGTGTCAATAAATATGCTGTGGACCAAGGATTGAAACCAAGCTGTAAACTACTATCTCACAAGCCATTCTTGTGTGTCAATAAATATGCTGTGGACCAAGGATTGAAACCAAGCTGTAAACTATCTCACAAGCCATTCTTGTGTGTCAATAAATATGCTGTGGACCAAGGATTGAAACCAAGCTGTCAACTATCTCACAAGCCATTCTTGTGTGTCAATAAATATGCTGTGCACCAAGGATTGAAACCAAGCTGTCAACTATCTCACAAGCCATTCTTGTGTGTCAATAAATATGCTGTGGACCAAGGATTGAAACCAAGCTGTCAACTATCTCACAAGCCATTCTTGTGTGTCAATAAATATGCTGTGGACCAAGGATTGAAACTAAGCTGTCAACTATCTCACAAGCCATTCTTGTGTGTCAATAAATATGCTGTGGACCAAGGATTGAAACTAAGCTGTCAACTATCTCACAAGCCATTCTTGTGTGTCAATAAATTTGCTGTGGACCAAGGATTGAAACTAAGCTGTCAACTATCTCACAAGCCATTCTTGTGTGTCAATAAATATGCTGTGGACCAAGGATTGAAACTAAGCTGTAAACTATCTCACAAGCCATTTTTGTGTGTCAATAAATATGCTGTGGACCAAGGATTGAAACCAAGCTGTCAACTATCTCACAAGCCATTCTTGTGTGTCAATAAATATGCTGTGGACCAAGGATTGAAACCAAGCTGTCAACTATCTCACAAGCCATTCTTGTGTGTCAATAAATATGCTGTGGACCAAGGATTGAAACCAAGCTGTCAACTATCTCACTAGCCATCCTAATGATCACTGCTCTTGAAATTACAGAACACTGACATCACCAACTTTAGCAGCAGCTGGAATGATGGGCTGGGCTTCTGTGCCTTGTTGCACAGCTATGTGCCTGAGAAGATTCCTTACTGTGAGCTCACCTCTGAGGATAAGGTAGATATGATCTCTGTCGTTGTTTGTGGGCTTGTGTGCCTTGTTGCACAGCTATGTGCCTGAGAAGATTCCTTACTGTGAGCTCACCTCCGAGGATAAGGTAGATATGATCTCTGTCATTGTTTGTGGGCTTGTGTGTCTTGTTGCACAGCTATGTGCCTGAGAAGATTCCTTACTGTGAGCTCACCTCCGAGGATAAGGTAGATATGATCTCTGTGTTTGTTTATGGGCTTGTCTCAGCAATTTGTGAATGTACACAACATAGTGTCACTACACTTATCTTAGTAACCCTGTTTTGCACTATTTAGAATCTATAAATACTTGTCTCCTTGTGATTCTAACAATTTTGTGCTTAATTATTGAACAGTTTCATACTAACATGTGCATAAGTTATGTGTGTATTGTAAAACATAATAACAAAGACAACTAGAAACAGAAATAGCACTAAAATAACTAAATTACCAGTGGAAGTCAATAAGTCAGTCACAAATGGTTATGGGATGGCAGGAAAATGTAGTTGGTGGTTTGTAAATGTGTCATTATGTGACAGCAACATCAAACTTTATGTCTCCGTCCATTAGATGGCGCTGGGTGTTGCATGCATGTTCCCAACACAGAAACAAAATGGCGACCATACTTATGGAGTATACCTTTAAAGAACAATGTGCTGTTGTAAAGTTTTTATCATCTTTAGTTTTTGTGTGCTTTTTTAAACAGTCATTTGTGACTTACTGATTGACTTGCCCTCCTATATGTTGGGCAGAAGAAGTGTTTCTCAACGAGTAACCAGTCAGGATCAAATGCTTGACCTAGTAAAGTAACAAGTGGTAGTCTTTTACAGTACTGTTGTGAAATAGGTAGCGATATCACACCACATTGTATACCATTCCATAAACTGCCTCATTGTCTAAGGTTTATGATTGTTTAATTAGCACACATTCCAATAGCCAAGTTAGCACACATTCTAATAGCCCAGTTAGCACACATTCTAATAGCCCAGTTAGCACACATTCCAATAGCCCAGTTAGCACACATTCTAATAGCCCAGTTAGCACACATTCTAATAGCCCAGTTAGCACACATTCCAATAGCCCAGTTAGCACACATTCCAATACCCCAGTTAGCACACATTCTAATAGCCCAGTTAGCACACATTCTAATAGTCCAGTCAGCACACATTCCAATAGCCCAGTTAGCACACATTCTAATAGTCCAGTTAGCACACATTCTAATAGTCCAGTTAGCACACATTCTAATAGCCCAGTTAGCACACATTCCAATAGCCCAGTTAGCACACATTCCAATAGCCCAGTTAGCACACATTCCAATAGCCCAGTTAGCACACATTCCAATAGCCCAGTTAGCACACATTTCAATAGCCCAGTTAGCACACATTCCAATAGCCCAGTTAGCACACATTCCAATAGCCCAGTTAGCACACATTCTAATAGCCCAGTTAGCACACATTCTAATAGCCCAGTTAGCACACATTCCAATAGCCCAGTTAGCACACATTCTAATAGCCCAGTTAGCACACATTCTAATAGTCCCGTTAGCACACATTCTAATAGTCCAGTTAGCACACATTCCAATAGCCCAGTTAGGACACATTCTAATAGCCCAGTTAGCACACATTCCAATAGCCCAGTTAGCACACATTCTAATAGCCCAGTTAGCACACATTCTAATAGTCCAGTTAGCACACATTCTAATAGCCCAGTTAGCACACATTATAATTGCCCAGTTAGCACACATTCTAATAGCCCAGTTAGCACACATTCTAATAGCCCAGTTAGCACACATTCTAATAGCCCAGTTAGCACACATTCCAATAGTCCAGTTAGCACACATTCCAATAGCCCAGTTAGGACACATTCTAATAGCCCAGTTAGCACACATTCCAATAGCCCAGTTAGGACACATTCTAATAGCCCAGTTAGCACACATTCTAATAGTCCTGTTAGCACACATTCTAATAACCCAGTTAGCACACATTCTAATAGTCCAGTTAGCACACATTCTAATAGCCCAGTTAGCACACATTCTAATAGCCCAGTTAGCACACATTCTAATAGCCCAGTTAGCACACATTCTAATAGCCCAGTTAGCACACATTCTAATAGCCCAGTTAGCACACATTCTAATATCCCAGTTAGCACACATTCTAATAGTCCAGTTAGCACACATTCTAATAGCCCAGTTAGCAAACATTCTAATAGCCCAGTTAGCACACATTCTAATAGCCCAGTTAGCACACATTCTAATAGCCCAGTTAGCACACATTCTAATAGCCAAGTTAACACACATTCTAATAGCCCAGTTAGCACACATTCTAATAGCCCAGTTAGCACACATTCTAATAGCCCAGTTAGCACACATTCTAATAGCCCAGTTAGCACACATTCTAATAGCCCAGTTAGCACACATTCTAATAGCCCAGTTAGCACACATTCCAATAGTCCAGTTAGCACACATTCCAATAGCCCAGTTAGGACACATTCTAATAGCCCAGTTAGCACACATTCCAATAGCCCAGTTAGGACACATTCTGATAGCCCAGTTAGCACACATTCTAATAGTCCTGTTAGCACACATTCTAATAGCCCATTTAGCACACATTCTAATAGCCCAGTTAGCACACATTCTAATAGCCCAGTTAGCACACATGCTAATAGTCCAGTTAGCACACATGCTAATAGTCCAGTTAGGACACATTCTAATAGCCCAGTTAGCACACATTCTAATAGCCCAGTTAGCACACATTCTAATAGCCCAGTTAGCACACATTCTAATAGCCCAGTTAGCACACATTCTCTAATTAGCACACCCAATAGCACACACACATTCTAATAGCCCAGTTAGCACACATTCTAATAGCCCAGTTAGCACACATTCTAATAGCCCAGTTAGCACACATTCTAATAGCCTTAGCAAACATTTTAATAGCCCAGTTAGCACACATTCCAATAGCCCAGTTAGCACACATTCTAATAGCCCAGTTAGCAAACATTCTAATAGCCCAGTTAGCACATATTCTAATAAGCCAGTTAGCACACATTCTAATAGCCCAGTTAGCACACATTCTAATAGCCCAGTTAGCAAACATTCTAATAGCCCAGTTAGCACACATTCTAATAAGCCAGTTAGCACACATTCTAATAGCCCAGTTAGCACACATTCTAATAGTCCAGTTAGCACACATTCCAATAGCCCAGTTAGCACACATTCTAATAGCCCAGTTAGCACACATTCTAATAGCCCAGTTAGCACACATTCTAATATCCCAGTTAGCACACATTCTAATAGTCCAGTTAGCACACATTCTAATAGCCCAGTTAGCAAACATTCGAATAGCCCAGTTAGCACACATTCTAATAGCCCAGTTAGCACACATTCTAATAGCCCAGTTAGGACACATTCTAATAGCCCAGTTAGCACACATTCTAATAGCCCAGTTAGCACACATTCTAATAGCCCAGTTAGCACACATTCTAATAGCCCAGTTAGCACACATTCTAATAGCCCAGTTAGCACACATTCTAATAGACCAGTTAGCACACATTCTAATAGCCCAGTTAGCACACATTCTAATAGCCCAGTTAGCACACATTCTAATAGCCCAGTTAGCACATGTAAAATACCTGTAAAGAGTGACTGATTTGCCTGCTTGTTCTAGGGGCTCATTGGATTGGGGGAATGGCCTACTGCCCCGCAACAAGCATTTAGTGTATAAGTTCACTAATTGGGGGCTATTCTTCGAAGTCAGAGCGCATCTGAGAACTAAAGAAGAACTAAACCAACAGTTTGCATATAAAATAAATAAATACTGAGAAAAAAGGCGGTTAATTTCTGATTGCATTTCATTTGAACATTTTGTTTCCTTGTATTAAATTGTTGCCAGCTTTCTCATGTGATTAGCACATCTTTACATTTTCATTGCAGAGGAGGAACCTAACGATTGCCTTCAGTGCAGGAGAAAGTGTCGGAATCAAAGCAACTCTGGTATGTATTTGTTGTCATTTCACTTAGACATGGGCCAAGTTAGAGGCACAAATAGCTTTCACATATTTATTAATCTATTTTAAAAATGCAACTGAAATACATTGTTTAAAATATAAGAAAGATCACAGATTAGAAAAGTGCACTAACAATTAATGTCCATGTTTATAAAGCTACTGACACAAATTCTGTGTTCTCAGCTACAGCTGGTGAGTCAAGAACTGACATCACTGCACTTGGGGCATTCCCATGCATGCTCAGTCTTCATTTTCAGCAGCCAGCGCAGAGTTCCAGTACTGGTGGTACCGGTCACAATCTGGTTGTATGTCCGTCTTGCCTTTCCTCTGAGTGTAGTCAACCGGCCTGACCCTCTGGTTATACCCAGATGCCTCATTCTCTCCAGATCATAATAATCTTGTTTCTCTACTGATTCCATTGCTTGTTCCCAAAGGGCCTTGACCACATCTGTCTTGTTATGTATCAGTTCACCACCCAGTGGTGCAGATCCAGCCAATTTGTCTGCCTGTTCATTCCCCACCACGCCGTCATGACCTGGAGAAAAGATCTAAAGTATGCTCACTACCCGTGACCCTGTCCAGTGAAGCTTGCTACTTTGCTCGAAGCATCCCTGTCTTCACCTTTTTTTTCAGTATGCTTTCGGTGTGTGTGCTTAATACTGTGTTAGTTTACATGAGGGGCCTAAATGTTGAATGTAACTGATTAACTTCTCCTGTTGCAGAATGTTGAATGTAACTTATTAACTTGTCATGTTGCAGAATTTTGAATGTAACTGATGAACTTCTCCTCTTGCAGAATGTTGAAAGTAACTGATAAACTTCTCCTCTTGCAGAATGTTGATTGTAACTGATTAACTTCTCTTGCAGAATGTAATTGATGAACTTCTCCTGATGCAGAATGTAATTGATGAACTTCTCCTGTTGCAGAATGTAATTGATGAACTTCTCCTGTTGCAGAATGTAATTGATGAACTTCTCCTGTTGCAGAACATCAATGACATGGTGTCCATGGAGAGGCCTGACTGGCAAGCTGTGATGAACTATGTTACAGCTATATACAGACACTTTGAGGTAGACAAGACATGAATGCAGCAAGAGGCAGCAACATAGCTCATCACTGAATGCAGAGAGAATATGCTTGTTGTTTAGTTCCTGTACAAGTTTGAAATCATCATCTACAGTTTGTGGACAGACAAATATTTTGTGTGTGTTCTAATTGCCAGCTACTTGCCTTGTACTCACAAAATAAATTGTTTATTTGTTTTTGTTTTGTGTCCCCCCCCCCCCCCCCCCCAGGAGGTACATTACACAGCAACGTAAGCTTATGTGTGCTTCATTTCTGTCAGTTAAGCGCAGCATTGTTTTGTGGTAGTTCATATTATGTGTTGCTTTATTTTAAAAAAAATGATAATGGGAAATTGGCAATTGGAATATTGTAGAGAAATGTTGCTGTTGATTGATGTTGCTGCTAGTACCATAAAATGTCTATATTGTCGATGTACGCTTCTTTATTTTACAGTTCAATGGTTATAAATCTGTGAAGCACTGAGTAGCGATGCACTGGTATCTGATGATGATGGGTCAACTCTGAGTAGAGGTGCACTGGTATCTGATGTTGATGGGTCAGCTCTGGGTAGAGGTGCACTGGTATCTGATGATGATGGGTCAACTCTGAGTAGAGGTGCACTGGTATCTGATGTTGATGGATCAGCTCTGAGTAGCAATGCACTGGTATCTGGTGTTGATGGGTCAACTCTGAGTAGAGGTGCACTGGTATCTGATGATGATGGGTCAACTCTGAGTAGAAGTGCACTGGTATCTGATGTTGATGGGTCAGCTCTGGGTAGTGATGCACTGGTATCTGATGTTGATGGATCAGCTCTGGGTAGAGGTGCACTGATATCTGATGTTGATGGATCAGCTCTGGATAGAGGTGCACTGATATCTGATGTTGATGGGTCAGCTCTGGGTAGAGGTGCACTGATATCTGATGTTGATGGATCAGCTCTGGGTAGAGGTGCACTGATATATGATTTTGATGGATCAGCTCTGGGTAGAAGTGCACTGATATCTGATGTTGATGGGTCAGCTCTGAGTAGCGGTGCACTGGTATCTGGTGTTGATGGATCAGCTCTGGGTAGAGGTGCACTGATATCTGATGTTGATGCATCAGCTCTGGTAGTACATAATCTTCTCTTTGTAGAATGTGCTTGATGTTCTGGGAATGTAGGGATATTTATCAAACACTTTTTTGACTGCTGCATTTCTTCATTGAATAAATTGTTAAAAATAAAGTTGATTTCATGCAATCTCAGATGAAAGTGTATTGATTAAAGGCTATCTGAGATGTAAATTTATTTATTTAAGACTATCTGAGATGTAAGTTCGATTTCATGCCATCTGAGATGTCAGTTTATTGATTTTATGCTATCTAAAATGACAGTAGAAGGGAAGAGGAGAAGAGGCAGAGTAAGAAAGATCGTGTTACTGAGTTTGACAGACTTTAGAGAAAATCTGTCAGCTGCCATGAAGAATCAACATTATGAAGACATCAAACAGGTGGAAGATGTGAAAAATGTTCTGAAAAGGGTGAAAGACACTGCACCCAGGCCTGACAGGGTCAGATATGAGGGACATGACCGACCTGTTGCAGATGACAGCTTCAGTCCCAGAAGAGTGGATGCACAGCTGCCTGATCACACTTCCTAAACCTGGCAAAGATCATTCAACACTCAGCGGCTTTAGGATCATAACCCTACAAAACACATTTGGTAAAGTGCTGAAGAAGATAGTGGCAGGTAAGCTACAACAATTGTTGGTACAGAGAAAGCTGCTTCCAGGAGGTTTGGGAAGTTACCAGCCAGGGAAGGATACATGGTCAAATGCAGCCACTTTTGCCTTTGACGGATTCGAATGTTTCAAGAAAAGGCTGGAAATGGTGGTAGCAGCACTTGATTTAAAAAATGCTTACAACAAAGTCAGATATAATATCTTGATGAAAGCGCTTATGGAGGGGGAATTCTGTCCTTGGTTAGTAAACTCGATAGCAGTTGATTTATATTTTCGTCGGATAGCTCTCCGCCTGGGTTCATAGACCGCTGAACCATGTATTATAGCTTCGGGACTACCACAGAGATCTGCAATTTCACCTGTACTGTTCAATGTTTTTACGAGCAAGATTACAGACCTGGAAATGCCTGGAGTTGGTAGAATACTGACATTTACAGATGATATTCTTGTATATAGGCAGGATAGAGATCAAAATTAAATTGCTCAAGAGTTGCAGGTGACAGTAGATAAGGTGATCGAGTAGTGTACAGAGATGAGTGCCGTAATCAACCCAGAAAAGGCAACCATACTGTGGTGTTCTTTGGACAACAGGATTGTTAGAGCTGATGTTCCAAGCCTCAAAATAAATGACAGGGACCTCAAGAGAGACAGCAGACTGTGGTACCTGGGAATCACCTTTGACACAAGCGTGTCTTTCCAGGATCACATAGAGACAGTTGTGTCAAAGGGCCAAAAAGGTCTAAATACACTAAAGATTATGGCAGCAACTGACATGGAGCTGTTCACACTATACCAGCAATCATCTCAGTGATTGATTATGGATTGGGTTTGCTCACTGTCTCGAAGAATATAGAATGAAGCTATGGGGGGTGATCCTGGGATGTACAAGAGATACCCCGATTGTGTGCATGCAATACATCCTTGCATTGCTGACTATTACAGATAGGCTAAAGGTGCTGCAGACTAAGTCATACCTCAGAGTAGCTGCAGATAAAGAGCACCCTCTATATAAAGCTGTGGAAGCAGTTAAGCATCAGAGGCTGAAAAGGGGGAAATCCTGGATGGTTAGTCAGAAAACACAATAAGACAAGTATGCATGCTGGAGAACATTGGGCAAGGAGAGGAGTGGGTCAGAGTACCAAAGGAAAAATCTGACCTCTGTAGGGTCATGATCACATTAGGCGAGGAGTGCAGAGAGTGGCCAGCGGGGTCTACGGAGATGGAAGTCCAACAGTTGATCCACGTCAATTCTTGTCCTGATGATCTGATTTTCTACACAGATGGTTCTATATTGAGAGCGGAGAGATGTACCTGGGGTTTCTTAGCAAAAGCCAATGGAAAATCTTTAGTGCAGGACAGCCTGGCATATGATAACATGACATTTAGCGTGAGAATGGAGGTGGAGGTGATCTCTGCGGCTTGACAGGTGGCTAGAGAACAAGATACATACATATGTCGTAATTGTAACGGACTCTGAAAGCATTCTGAAATAGGTGAAGACATGATTCCTTTGAGCAGAGTGGCAAGCTTCACTTGCAAGGTCACGGGTAGTGAGCATACTTTGGATCTTTTCTTAAAGTCATGCCGGAGTGGTGGGGAATGAACAGGCAGACAGACTGGCTGGATCTACACGGCTGGGTGGTGAATTGATACATGACAAGACAAATGGGGTCAGAGCCCTTTGGAAACAAGTAACAAAGTCAGAAGAGAAGCTAGATTATTATAGCCTAGAGAATGATACACTTGGGTGCGCCAGAGGGTTCAGCCATCACACTACACTCAGAGGAAAGACAAGACAGACATACAACCAGACTGCGACTGGCACCATTAGTATTGGAATTCTGCACTGGCTGCTGATGATGGGGACGGAGTGCATATGGGAATGCGCCAAGTACTGTGATGTCAACTCATCTCTGACAGACTGGACAAGCCTTAGGCATGCAGCCATGAGGTCCATTGCATTAGACCGCCAGATGTGGAGGGAGCTGATCAGTCAGCAGAAACTGGGTCGCCACGCCAGGCTGTGTTAGGGGATGATTATGTGGATGAAAATGATATTTAATGTTAGTCTATCTGAGATGTCAATTTATGAAAGTCATGTTATCAAAGCTGTCAGTTTATTGATGTCATTCTATCTGAGATGACAATTAATTTCATGTTGTCTGAAATAACATTTTAGGATATGATCCTGTCTAAGATGACAGTAGATACCGTGCCATCTTAGACGAAAATTTTTTGATGTCATGCTATCTGAGATGACATTTGATGTCATGCTGTCTTAGATGACACTATTGATGTCATGCTGTGTGAGATGGCAATATATGATGTAATGCTATCTAAGATGACATTTAATGTCATTCTGTCTGAGGCTGTATCCAGCAAGACCCACTCACTGTTTCTTGTGTTGACCACTCAGTGTTGACCACTCAGTGTTGACCACTCAGTGTTAACCACTCAGTGTTGACCACTCAGTGTTGACCAGTATTGACTGAATTCAGTGGCAGTTGCTGCAGACAAATCTGCGTGGCATTCATTGTTCCTTATTGTAAATGCATTTTGGATTTCATTCACTATTGTCAGTCATGTGTTTGATAGTTACCAACAACATTATATTTATTTAGAGGTATCTGAGACGCTACTACGGATATAAATAATATGTGTGGTTGTTTGTGTGTCAAAATGGGGCAGAGGGAGGTTATCAAGAAATGTCAGCAGTACAGTAGAAATGAATTTACACTGTGTTGTGTTATCCAGAAATATCAGCAGTACAGTAGAAATGAACTTACACTTGTGTTGTGTTATCCAGAAATGTCAGTAGTACAGTAGAAATGAACTTACAGTTGTCACTAGTCACTTGTTTGTTTGTTAAACATTACAGGCAGCAATGTGTAAGTATTTTTAGTTTCAAGCATTTCTGTATATTTGGTATATGCTTAACTATTTTTTTTAAAATCTGTGTTGAAACAGATTGATTATTTGCTGCAGGTGTGTTTAGTTAACTTCCAGTTGCAATGCCTTATAATTCATTGAGAAATTAGTTAGTATTGTCCCAAAGGTAAACGAGAGATAGTGTGTCATACTGTTGTTTAATTTGGTTTCTGATGTTACTATTTGTAATTTGGTCTCTAATTTTACCATTTGTAATTTGGTTCTCTAGTCTCCAGTCTCTCTGTAAAAGTTATGGCAACATGTAGAGAGTACTGAAATGTGAATGTTCCACCAGTTAGGTCAGTGAATCCTGGAACATGAATGTTCCACCAGTTAGGGTCAGTGAATCCTGGAACATGAATGTTCCA